AGTGAAAAAGTTTTTTTTTCCCCATATTAACATAAATAATTCAATTTATATAATTGCTAAATTAATATTTAAACTGTTTAGGATATTATAATTAAATTTTAATTAATATTTTAAGAACAGTTTTTTTTTCTTTTTTTTAATTATCAATTTAATTATTTATTATTAGTAAAATTTAAGTATTAATAATCATTTTTTTTTTATAGCAAAGCAATAACTGATTAATTGAAAATGGAAAAACAATTTCAACAACTTATCATCGATGATGCTTCACGTAGCAAAACTATGATAAATCAGAATTGGTTTAAACAAAAATCAAAATTTGGTAATGCATTCCAGGAAACTAGAATGCTAATTAATGAAAGAATAAATGAATTAGAGACACGTTACGTACGTCTTTATTTATTTATTTATTTCTTGATAATTACTTTAAAATTTTTTATGAATAAATTTAATGCATTAAATATTGATAGAAGTAAGAAATAAGATAAAAAAAAATTTACATAAAGATTATTTATATTCATTTCTTATAAATTAAATATGACAATTACAAATGAATAAATTAATTAATTATATAAATCTATTAAATTGCATTTTGTAAACGAAATATATCAAATAAGTAATTTGGAAAAGTTAATTTAATTGTAATTGCTATTGTTGTACTCTAATTATTAAGTTTTAATATTTGAGTTAGACTATCATAATAAAAGATCAAAATTGCTTTTTTAAAATGAAAAACTAACTTTTAATTCAAAATAAAATATAATAACGAATGATAAATTTAAAAATTGCACAATTTTTAATTTTCTTTTTTTTTTATAATTTCAGGAGGAATTAAGCAATAAACGAAATAATTTGGATGATAATAATAAAACAGAAGAAGAAAAAGTAAGTGTTTCTTATGTAAGAAATATAATTATAGTAATCACATTTTTTTTAATAAATAATAAATTTTAAAATAAATTTATGTAATATTAAAAAAAAATTTTTAGATTGAAATGAATTTTGAAATGGATGAAGTAAAAGATCAACTTATGATTATGTATCATTTAAATAAGGTGCAAATGTCTGACGTGAAGAAAATTCGACGAAAAATGGATAAAGAACGAGAGGTTTTTGAAAGTTATTAATTTAATTTAATAAATAATAAAATGTTGAAATTATTATAATGTAAATAATTATTATAATAAAAATAATTACTTGCAGAAAAATAAAAAAAATTTTATTAAACGAATGGAAGATTATCAACATTATAAAGGATTGCTACAATTGATGCAAAATTGTGAAGTGAGAGAAGCATTTCGTACAAAAACAAGCGGTGCAATTGTTAAGTTTAATTTATTTTTTAATTTTATTGCAAAAAGTATTAAAAAAAAATTTTTTTTTTTTTGTTCAAGAAAAATTAATTAATTATTTGATTTTTTTAATTAAGGAATAAATCAGATATTATCATTTTATTGCATAAATTATTTTGCTTAATCTTTTGTCTTAATCTTTTTTTTTTTTGTGATCATAATTATAACAATTTTTGATCTTTATGTAATCAGCATAAAATAGTTTGATAATTACTTCTTTAGAGTAATTAGCAATTGTATTATTGACAAATTAATAACTTATCCATCACTTAAGAAATATAAAATTAAAGTATTAATTAATTAATTAATTATTATCAGAGATTAACAGAAAATGAATTGGACTATTTGCATTGGCTAAATGAAGAAATTAATCCATCAATTAATTTGGTTGAAAATAATTACATTTGGCGCAAGAGAGTGCGTGAAAGTGCTTTGAAAGCAATGGAAATTATATTTGGCACAAATAAAACAATCAATGATTGTTGGACTGGTAGGAAATAAATAAATAAATAAATAAACAAATAAACAAAAATGAAAAAGAAAAATTAATTAAATAAGAAAATAAATAAACAAATAAACAAAAAGGAAGAAACATTAGTGCATAAAATAATAAATAAATTTTTTTTAAAAAATTATCGAATAAAATAATTTTTAGACTTTTTCTTGTTTAAAAAATATTTTTTTTTATTTATTTTCATCATTTTAAAACGTATATATGTATTGTTTTTTAACGTTTGTAATTAATAATTTATTATTAATTTGTATTTTAAGTTATGATATCAAATATTTTATAATTTAGGTAATAATACGAAACGCTTATTGGACCGTATTAGTAAGTGTGATTTTTTCAAAGGTCGCACAATGTGGATTAATATGGCAATGTTTAATCGAATTAATGCAAGCTCATTTCCAATTTTGGGATCATATCCATATCCCTATTATAATTATTATAATAATGAGGTTTCATTTCTTATTTGTTTATTTAAAAAGATTAAATATAAAATTTTATTTTTTAAAAAAAAAAAAGTTTAATGTTAAAATGATTGTTTTATTTTTAGCATGCATATTATCAATTTAATCCTGAAATGGAATCAAATATCAAAACTTCAAACGATGATGATAATGATCAAAGATTAAGCAGTAATTCTGCTAGTAAACTTTTTCTTTTTTTTTTTTATTTTTATTAATTTCAAAATAATAGCTTAATTAATGGAAAGAATTTCAAATGAACAAGTCAACAAACAAACAAACAAACAAAAACCAAAATCAAAGCTAAGTATTAATTTTTACGATTGAAATTAGCATATTTGAGTTGTAAATGTAAAATTAAAAAATTATTTTATTCAAAAATGCGAAAAAATATTTTAATATTTTTGCAGGTAATTCAACTACTCGGCAAAAGAATACACAAGCAAAAAAAGAAAATTATAAATTCATAAAAGGAAGCAATAAACCAGATGGTTAGTTAATAATTAAAATATCACTTTTCTTTTCTCTTTTGTTTTTTTCTAAAATTTCAAATATATTTTTTAATTTTCTACTTTTTATTATTCAATAAGGCGCTAAGTATTAATTTTTACGATTGAAATTAGCATATTTAAATTGTAAATGTAAAATTAATAGTTAAAAAAAGAAGAAAAAATATTTAGAAATTTTTTTTTTTAAATTATAATAAATGAAAAGAAAAAAATAGCCATACGAATTCATTTTTTTTTAAAAAAAAAGCGAAATAAAATGAAATATTTATTAGTGTTTATAAAAAGATTAGTTTAATTTTTTATTTCTTTAATAAAATTATTTGATAAATAAATAAACATAAATGTGTCATTCTATAAATTAAAAATATAAATTTTGTTTTTATTTGAATCTTTGAAACATCTTTTAAACAAAATATTAATTTTATATTTACTGAAATTTTGCATTAACAAAATATTAATTAAATTTTCAGATTACTATCTTTGCTTCAACTATTATCCTGCTCGTTTCACTGCAGATGTTAATGTACCATCAGAATTAGCTGGACGACCACCACCAGGAATATTTCGTTGTGATTTTTAATTTAACTCATTTCAAATGCTAATTATCTCTATTTTTTTCGTCTTGCTTACTTATCCAAATAAATTTTAATTTATTTTTTTTTTTTCGTTTCGTTTTTTCTTTTTAAATTTTCATTGCAATGATTGAAAATTTTATCTTCAATGCATGATAAAATTTTTATAAATATTTAATTTTTACTTAATTGTTTACATCCATATGATATGAATGAAAAAAAAAAAAAAAGTGTATAATTCATCGTTTAATTTCTTATTTTTCATTCATTGAATTATCTCAGATTTTTTTTTTTTTGCATTTCATTTTCGCTTATCACTTTGGATATGATTATTTCAAATGAAATTATTCATACTTTGAATATTTCGTTTGTTTGAGTGGCAAGTACAAATAAATATTTAAAAATTATTTGATTTAAATAATTTTATTACATTAAATTAAATTTGAAACAAACTATTGAAACAGTTATTTTCATCAAAATTACACTTTAGCAATTTTTTTTTTTTTTTTTTTTTGTTAATTTGGCAAAATTTAACTAAAACAGATACTATGCAGAATTATCAGTATTATCAATACTGATAAAGTTGTGAAATGATATAAAAATTTGCTCAATATAAGAAGAATTTAACTAACAGAAAAATAAAACATAATTATTGCTACAGCAATGGCAGAGATAATCTGAAAAAATTAAATTTTAAAATAGCAATTCAAATTCAAATTTATTCATACAGAAATGATTTCTCATTGATAAGAAAAAAAAAACTTAAGTTTATATCGAATTTGCATATCGAAAGTTATTTACAATTCATCAATTATGAACTTTTATCATTCCGTTTTGTTTATTATTTTTTTATTAACAAAAAAAAAATTAAAGAAAATCGATGAAAGTTATTCAGCGTGGTGAACAATGATCGCAAGATAATATTTGAATAATCAAAATATTATTATAGTGATAAGCACTATTCAGATCATGATAATCATGATCTTAAAACTGATATTAATCAAAGATCAAATCTGTAAATTCAGATTGCTACAAGTTTAACTTTTATTTCTTTCATCGTATATTTTCATCGATAACTTTCATATTTTATCTAATAATTATCCTATCAACTAATCAAATATTTTGAAATGATAAATTATTATTCTATTCTGATTGATTCATTTGCAAAAATTTGAAAAAAAAAAAAACGATAAACTATCTAACTAAACAGTCGTTAATAAGTTTTGCAATTTAAATTATTCGATAATTTCATTCATTCAAGTCCTGTCCTTCTTCTATGTTATCAGATATTGAAAAAAATAATTTCTTAAACTTTTTTTCTTTTCGTTTACTTTTTATTAAAATTTCTGAAAAAAAAAAACTTTTTAAAACTTTAAAAACATTCAGTCGGTCCAAAAAAATTAAATTTTACTTTATTCATAAAAGTAAAAATTTAATTTTTATTTACCAATAGTTATCAAATTTCTTTCTCAGAAAAAAAACTGTAATCAATTAAATTAATTAATTCAAATTATTCAAGTAATTAATTAATTAATTCAGATTATAATTCTTTTAGATATTTTCAAAGCAAAGAAAGAAAAAAAAAAAGACAGAAATAGATGCAAGAACAAAGTTACGATGATATCATTTCCAAATGGAATTCCGGAAATGATATTATCAAAATGTTGCTTACTGATAAAATTCAAGATTTAAAGGAACAAATTGTTAGTTTTAACAAATTTCTAACAAAAAAAAAAAGTTCATTTAAATATTGCAATAATACTTATTATTATTACTTTTTTCTTTCTAAAACATATTTCATTGATATTAAATGATATATTTGATAATTAATTTAAATTATTATCAGTCAATTAATTCATTATGTACTAACTTTCCTTCCTTTTCTTCTTGCTTTTATTAAAAAGTAATTAATTAATTAATTATTAATGAAAAAAATATATATCATAAAAATATTTCTTAGCTGAATTCTTTTTTTGTTTTTTTTTTTTGCAGGAAATGTTAGAAATGGGACAAAGACATTTAAGTGCTGGAAATATTGCATGTGCAAATCAAATGGTTTTGCTTTATCACAGAAAATTAATTTCTTCTTTACTTTCATTTTTTTATTTCAATGATAATAATAGTTGAAACTTTTTGATAACAATTTTGTTTAGGTGATAACGATGATAATGAATCAACTTGAAAATTAATTTCTTCCTTACTTTCATTTTTTTATTTCAATGATAATAATAGTTGAAACTTTTTGATAACAATTTTGTTTAGGTGATAACGATGATAATGAACCAACTTGAAAATTAATTTCTTCTTTACTTTCATTTTTTTATTTCAATGATAATAATGGTTGAAACTTTTTGATAACAATTTTGTTTAGGTGATAACGATGATAATGAACCAACTTGAAAATTAATTTCTTCTTTACTTTCATTTTTTTATTTCAATGATAATAATGGTTGAAACTTTTTGATAACAATTTTGTTTAGGTGATAACGATGATAATGAACCAACTTGAAAATTAATTTCTTCTTTACTTTCATTTTTTTATTTCAATGATAATAATGGTTGAAACTTTTTGATAACAATTTTGTTTAGGTGATAACGATGATAATGAATCAACTTGATGCTCTAAATAATGTATTGAATGTTTATTTATCTGAAATGACAATTAGAAAAAAAGCTTTAATTAAGCAAAGACAGGTTTTTAATTATGCTTATTTTATTTTAGTTTTTTTTTTCTTTTAATTTGCTAATGAATAAGATAATGCTTGTATGATTTAAATTTTTTTAGTAATGAAATTCTTGCAATAAAATTTTACTACTATAACTTTTTTAGATGATAAAGAAGCATTATCATTTTTCATTTATAATTATTTGAAATAATTATTTTATATAAATAATTATTATCACTAAATTAAGTTTTTAATATTTTCTAGAAAAGTATAAATAAAAACATAAAGTTAAAAATAATTTAATGCTTTACAGAGAGATCGAAAGCAATTTGTAGAACAAATGATTGCTTTACTAGAATATAAAGAAATTATCGCCAATACGCAAATTCCGGAAATTAGCTATTCGCTTGCATCCGGAACAAATGGTGCTATAGTATGTTTGAATTACGTTTTTCTTGTTCAAAACTACAAATTTAGCAAAAAACATTTCAAAATTCAGCTTAAATCCTTTTTCTTTTCCTGGCATCGATACTATCAAACAAGAAAAACAAGCAATTTTGTCATCAGGAAAAAAAATGAAGAGGCGATTTTGTCACCAAAAAAAGGCGGTTTTGTCCTAGTATATTCCATTTTTGAAATTGAATAGTGTAAAATCATAAGAATACTAATTAATATATAATTTTTTATAAAATTTTCATTTCTTCCTGAAACTAAAATGATTAAATTTGATGAATTTGTTGTAATTTTATTGATTAAAAATAATTTTCATCAATTTTTTAACAGAAATTAAATGGAAAGGAACTTACACTTTTGAATTTGCTACATTTGCTAATAAATCCGACGATAAATTTCAAAGAAAATAACAAAATTCGTAGTAGGAAATTAAAAATTGCTTTGGAAAATGGAATAAAAGTGATAAAAGATTCATCATTTCGGATTATTGGTCATTATACAGGTGAGAATTGACAAATTTGAATTTAATAAAATTTACTTTTATTTTTGTAAATAGTAATAAACAATATTTTTAGTTAAATAAATAAATAAAACAAATTGTAAAATTTAAGAAATGAAAAATTTTTATTCAACTTTTTGATAATTACATGTTTGACTTTTGCTTTGTTTTTTGATGCTCTAAAAAAAATTTCTTTAATATAAAATTTTTTTGAAAAAATTCTACATTTTTACGTGAAATTGTATAAAATTTGAAAATGCTAAGCTATAAAATGATAATTTCAAGGTCATGACATCAAATGCTTGCTTGACCGTGTTCGAAATTGTCAACTATTAGCCAATATGCCATCTTGGTTGGAAAATATGATTGTCATTCAACAAATGTCATTTATAGCACCAGCACGAGTAATTTTAATTTATTTTAAAAATTTCAAATCATTTAATTATTTTCAAACTTTTTGTCATTCTAGTGGTAAAATTTTACAAACTGATAAATTTTAAATTTTTAAAATTGTTAAAACATCAAATTTTACACATATTTGCTTCACTCTAATGGTAAGAATTCACAAATTGATAAATTTTCAAAATTTCAAATCATTAAATTATCAAACTTTCTCTCATTTTAGCGGCAAAATTTGACAATTTGATAAAATTTAAAATTATTAAAATATCAAATTTTATACATATTTGCTTCATTTCAATGGTAGAATTTCGCAAATTGGTAAATTTTGAAGATTTCAAATCATTAAATTATCAAATTTTATACACATTTGTTTCATTTTAGTGGTAAAATTTCACAAATTAAAAGTTAAATTTAGGCTGTTACTAATTCTGCTTCATGTTTTGCTATTGGTAGTAGTAGCAGTAGTAGCAAATCGAATTGTAGTTCCATTGACACAGATAGCAATGTTGATCAAATTGATAAATATTCTGATACAATGAATTTTACAGATGAAAATTATAAAATTACTAAAAAGGTTAGCTAATTTTTCATTTTACTTTACAAAAAAAAAAAAATTGTCACCTGAATTTAAAATTGTTTTTTTTTTTTATTAGCTAAATATTTTTAGCCAAATTATTGCAATGATAATGAAATATTAAAAGCTAACAGTGAATCGTTATCAACAAATAGTGGACAACAAATGACAACAATTAATAGTACGTAATTTTGTTTAAAAAAAATTTTTAAAACTTTTTTTTAAAAAAAAAAAAAAAAAAAAAAAAAAAAAAACTTACGAATAAATTGTAAATTGTAGGTGAATGTAATGTCAAATGTAATAATTTTGCTAAAATTTGCTAGAAATTTTTGCATTAATTAAAATTGAAATTATAATAAAATATTATTTAAAATTTGCAGCATTTCCTTTTTTTTCTAAATTCTTTTAACAATATAAATGTTTAAAAAATTTTAAATTTTATTTATCTGTAATAATTCGATAATACTCTTAATTAATTAATCATTCTTAAACAATTTCAAATGATAAAGTATTTAGTTTAATTTTAGGTATTTAATTTTTAACAGAATAATTACTTTTTATTCTCTTTATTGTTTTTTTTTCTATTTTTATTTTCCTTGTTTTATAGCTATTTTAAATGCTCAACAAAATACGACAACGTATGATAAGGAAATATCAAACTCAAAAAGTAACCAATCAACAAAATTATCAGTTAATGAGGAATTATCAGTTAATGAGAAATTATCAGTTAATGATAATTATCAATTATCAGTTAATGGGAAAAATGATATTCAATTGAATTTTTCATGCCAATTTCACATTTCATCGCTTTGTATTGGATTATTTGTTGGTATTGTAGCTTACAAAATGTGCAAATCATTTTTTTTGAAAAATATAATTTCATAAAATTTTTAAATTTAATGAAAACAACTTTTTTCGTTGTTTCTTTTATTAATTCAATATATTTGCAATGAATTGAAAAAAAAAAGTTATCAGAATTGATTATATTTTATCAAATTTGAAATGATTTCATTCGCTTTATTTCATATTATACATATATATTTACTCATTTGTGACAACATCTACTTTCTTTACTTTTTAAATTTAACTTAAAATTTTACTTTATCCAAATAGCTTTTCATTAATAGGCATATTTCAATTGTTTTCTCTTCAATCAATTATTTTCCATTGTTCCATTTAAATTATTTTACAATTTTCCTTAGTTTTTTTAGTTTCCTTTGCTAAACATTGATAATATTCCAATATAATTGTCGCAAATTCAAAACTGATCTTTTTTTTTATAATTTACTATTCGGCATTGATTGATTGATTGATCGATCGATCAATTATTTTACAGTGCTTAAGAGGCAATTTTTTTTGATTTGATTTTAAATATAAAATAAAAACAAAAAAATCAAAATGCTATATGATTATGAGTTATACAACAACAAAAAAAGCTTATAATAATTTAAAATTTTTGAAATAATTTCTGCTTCATCTATTTTAATACAATTTCATAAATTAGCCAACTTTATGCAAGAAATATTTGATCACAGAGAAAAAAAAAATTAAATGATCGATTTTTTTGTTTGTTTATTGATTTGCTGCAAACAGTGCAATAAATTTTCAGTTCGACAAAAATAACTGAAATGAAAAAAAAAAAGTTTACAGATAAAAATAATAGAATTAAATAAAATTGAAATGCCTGACATCTAGAAATGATTTCTTTAAGCGAATAATTTCATCGTTATCGTAGTTTTTTTGTCGAATTAAGTAAGAACTAAAATGGAAAATATTCAATAAGCTCTAATGATCAATCTAATTAATGATCAAAATTCTTGATTAAATATTTTTTTTTTCAATTTTTTCAGTTTTATTTTATTGGAATTTACAAAAATGTAGGAGCAATTTAAGTAAGATATTGTTTTTTAATTAATTAGGAAGAAAGTTGTTGTATAACAATTAGTTATGGGCAAATAAAATCAATATTTACTTTCATTATACTTTTATATTCATTAGTAAAATATTTTTATTGTACTTTGCTTTTCTTTCCTAACTCAAAAAATCAAATCCTTACATTTTCTTGAAGCGATAACTTGAATCGATAACTTGGGTCAATAACTTGAATCAATAAAAGATTTGAGAGGTCAGCGCAATTTTCTCAGATCACATTTGTTCATATTCGCAATAGTAAGCTGATAATTATGTTATTGAGAATTTATTGATAGCTTCTACTTTATTGATTCGTTTTTTTGAAACAATTTTTTTATCATTCTCGACAGCTTATTTCAACTTTTGATTAGTTTTTGATTAAAATGTCAAAGTTCAAATTGACTCAAATGCTACATTCCATTGTTTTTTTAAGAAAATTCATAGCATAAAAACTGCTGTTACACGTGAATTCGTTAATTCGTTTATATTTAAAAAATGTAATCATTTTTTATCAATTTACTACTTTCAATAAATTTTCTTTTTTTCATTCTTTTTTTGAAAAATGATTGTTCGATGAATATTGCAGGTTTGAAGTAAATATTATATCAATGGAGAATCAGTGCTCTGATATGATATCATCAGATCCAGCAGTTGAAATTAAAATATTTAAACCATTTGATAAAGTCGAGGAGCTGCTTCGAAAAAGGCAAAATAGTCAGAAGAAGCGATATGTTAGCTTTATTTGCTAATTCATTTATATTTACTTACTTATACTTAATCTTTTCCTCCCTGTAATTTTTGGCATTTTCTTGGAGTTAAAATTTCAAAAATTGAAATTATCAGTAGAGCTGTAGAAGTTGTAATAATTTTCTGAACAAATAATATGAGAAAATATGTAATGATAACAATTAGAAATTATCAATCGATTCTAGAAGATATCAAAGATATCAACGATGAAATCAAAAGATCGAAGAAGAAGCAGTAACCATATTAAAAAAGAGCTATATAATAATTGAAATATTCAATTTTTCAACCTTTAACCTTTGACCTTAACGGGGGTTCAATTGAAGTAAAAAAAATTGTTTATTTTTAAAAGAAAAATTTTTTTTCAGCTGCAACTAATGCGCTGGAGACAAGAATTGAAATCAGGAAATGCACTTGTTGAGCATTATGTATGCTTTAGAAACAAATTGAAATGAAGTAGAAAAAAAATTTCTTTTTTTGAATGAATAAATTAAATTTAAAAACTTAAAATAAAACTAAGATAAAATTTAAAATTAAATTAAAACAAATAAATTAAAAATAAGGAAACTTAAACAATAAATATTAATGGATACAATAATTGATATTATAGTGGTATGGAATAGTAATTAAATTGTTGAAGTACATATGAATAATTTAACTTTAAATTAAATTTTATTTTAATAAAGGGCAAAAAAAGTACTTAATTATTTATATATATACAATTATTTAATAAAAAAAAAAATTATTTAGGTGCGTACTGATTACAAATTAATTGAAGCAAAAGCTCAATTAGATTTATTGAATGAATTAGTTGATACATTTTATGATGATATGATAAGATTGAAGGAAGTGATAGTGGAACAAAGAGAGGTAAAATATTTTTATGTTTATTTTTTTCTTTTTTTTTAAACAATCAGTTTATACAATGAAATTATACTTACTCATATATAATCTAAAAATTAGAAAAAAAAAGCCAAAATTCTATCAATTTATGATTCATTCATCAAAATATTAATTTAGTAAGCGATTAATTGATTTCAATTAAAATTTGAAAATTAATTCATTTGTAGAATGATCAGAAAGAATTTACAAAAAGAATGGTGGATATTATACAGTACAAAGAGATTGTCAAATGGTTACAACAACCAAAAATAAGAGAAGCTTTTTGTGATGGAACTAATAAAGCTAAGGTATGCTTAACAAAAAAAAATTTTTTTTTAAATGAAATTAAAACTGATAAGATTTAGTATTTTAACTGATAGTTATCAGTGTTTAAGCTTTAAATCGATATGTTTACACTAAGATTCAGTTTTATTTGATTACTTTCTTGCTACATTGTCTAATTAATTGTAATTAATATTGATAATATTTCAAAAAATAATTAAATCTTTTTTCTAATATTTGAATAATAAAAGAATTAATTGCACTTAAAATGATACTTTTTATTTTTTGAAAATTTATTAATCAGTTATATCTTTTATTATTATTTAAATATTAGAAATAATAACAAAAAAGAAAACAGTAATAGCGTAAAAAAATTATTATTTAGGTATTGAATGAGGAAGAAATGTTACTTTTGAAATCATTACGTGAAGTGATTAATCCAAGAATAAGTTCGTATAATTATGAAAAAATTTGGAAACGTGTACTACGTGATGCTGCTAAATTAGGCATGAAATTAGACAGTGATGAAGATGAAAGAGCTATTGGTATAATTATTAAATTGAATTTATTAAAGTGAAATAAAATTTATGAATAATATTTCTCTAATATTTGAGTAATAAAATAATTAATTGCAGTTAAAGTGATACTCTTTATTTTTTTGATAATTTATTAATCAGTTATATTAGCAATTGATGATAAAGAACAGTAAAATTTGCATATCAAATATGAAACGGATTTTTTTTTTTTTTAAATTTAAATTTATCAAACATTTCAGGTCATTGAAAGATGATTATTAATTTGAATTTATTAAAGTAAAACAAAGAACAATAAAATTTACTCATCAAATATGGAATGGATTTTTTTTTCCTTTTCAAAATTTAAATTTATCAAACATTTCAGGTCATTGAAACATGATTATTAATTTGAATTTATTAATGATAAAGACAAAGGTAAACAAAATTTAAAGATAAACAAAATTTATGGATGAATATATGAGCAATTAATGATAAAAACCAATAAAATTAGTTCATTAAATATGAAATAAATAAAAAAGTTTTTTTTTTTTTTTTTTAAATTTAAATTTATCAAATACTTATCATTAAAAAAATGTTTTTGTTTTAATCAATTTTAATCATTTGCAATACTTTCAACTTTTCATTTATTTTTGCAGTTCATTCAAATGTTTGCAAAAATGCTGTTCAATTTCAAACTGAAATGTCAACCGTAGAAGAAATAACTCAATCAAATGTTCAATTTCAAACTGAAATGTCATCAAATATGGATGAAATAATTGAATCAGAAACTTTATTAATAGATAATTGGCACAGTCCACATATTCCATCAATTTGCATAGGAATGCTTTTTGTCATTGTCACCACTGTAGCACATAATTTTTTCTATTATTTTAAATTTAATAAAATTTAAATATTAAAAAAAAAGGGAAATTATTCATTGCTGATTAATAATTGAGCAAATTTATTAGCTCAATATTTTATATACAGCTAAATTAATCGCCAATTATTTTATCAAATTTATTGTTTTAAATTAAATATAGAATTTATTAGCTCAATATTTTATATACAGCTAAATTAATCGCCAATTATTTTATCAAATTTATTGTTTTAAATTAAATATAGAATTTATTAGCTCAATATTTTATATACAGCTAAATTAATCGCCAATTATTTTGTCAAATTTATTGTTTTAAATTAAATATAGAATTTATTAGCTCAATATTTTATATACAGCTAAATTAATCGCCAATTATTTTATCAAATTTATTGTTTTAAATTAAATATAGAATTTATTAGCTCAATATTTTATATACAGCAAAATTAATCGCCAATTATTTTATCAAATTTATTGTTTTAAATTAAATATAAATATATGGTAATGTTCATTGATATTATATAAGCATTTTTATTTCAATAATTTGTAAACAAATATCAAATTTTTTAAAAGGCCAAAAAAAAGCAAAAAAAATAGGAATTTTTTTTATTATACATATGTATATACATGTATTTTGGATAAGAAAAATGAATGAAAAAAGTGAAATGTATAAAATTTTTATTTCATTTTCTTTTTGTTCTTTGTTCTTTTTTTTCTTTTTGCTTTCAAATATTTAATTAATAAATTAATTTTTTTTTCTCGCTCTTAAATATTTTAAAGAAATATGATTAAAATCAAATGAAATTACACCAACAACACATTAAAAAATATGAAGTTAGTGAGCAGTTCACATAAGTAATTCAATTAATTTGTTGACAAACAAAACAAAAAAAAAAAATGCATTATACAATTTCAAACGGTAAATAAATAAATTGAGCATCCTTCTTCTTCCAGTAAATAAAATATTTAAGAAACTTTTCATCCTTTTTTTTTTTTTTTAATTATCTCATAAACACTGATATGGATAAGAGATGATAATTGATGGAAAATCATTTGATAAATTTTTTATTAATTAAAATATTTTCTTCCGTATATAATTATTCAAATTTAACATTAAATCTTAGAATTGGATAAACAAAATTTTATAGCTAAATTTTAATTAGCTAATTAATCATTTGCTCGTGCAGTATAATACGTCCAATATACCATATTCAACAGTGCAAATGAAATTGGAAATGCTTTTTGACATAAACTGAAATTGTAAAATTAAAATGTATTATAATAATAATAATACTAAAATTAAACATCAAATATTTGATTTACAATAATTATAAATTTCTTAGAAAATTAGTTTTTCTTTTCAAAAAATATATATATCGGATCTAAAATTTACGTAATTCTGTTATAAATAAATGAAAAAGAAAATGTTGATTCCATGAAAATTTAATTATTTTAATTAAATTAATTTTATAAAAGTAAATAATAATAATACTTACTTATCCATATCTTCACCAGTCCAATGTCTTAAAAATCTTCGTTCATTGTTGTGTTTTTTTCGTCGATGTTTACTATCACTTCTTGCTTCTTCGGTTATTCGATAGGGAAAGTAACGATTCGTATTTTCACCATCTAAATTATAATTTTATTTATTTTTTTATCATTATTATTTGTTATTGTTACTATTAAATATTTATTATTATTATTACTATTTATGGTATAACAATACTTGTGCAACATCAATAAATTATTATTATTATTATTATTATTATTATCATTATTATTTTTATTATTATTAATATTATTATCATTGTTATTATTATTATATTACTAATATTTTTATAGCATTACAAATATTTATATATAAATATCAATAACATATGAATCAGAAGTACAGCAGGTAACATTCCAACTACAATTAGGATAATGTTAAAATTTAAATTTAAATTATTAAATTTTTGAATGCTATAAATGATGGGAATTTTTCTTTTTTATATTTATCTATGTGTTTTTTAAAAATTTATAAAAAAATTTTATAATATATATATTTTATTTAATATTATAAATGAAAAAAGAAATGATTTCGAGATTTTTTGCAAATTTTTAAATGAATAACTATTTGTTTTATTTTCATAAAATATTTTAATAAATCTACTAATAATTTCAGTTTATCCTAGAATCCAAATTATTATAAATACAAAAATTTGAATGAACGAATTAAATTTGACTATAAAATAAATGCAAAATTTAGTTAAGCAGAATAAATTAAATAATAAAAAACTTTCCGAAATGAATTTCAAACGAATGATATTTTCTACAACAATAAGGAAGCATGAATTAAAAGACATACTGTACTCATTTAATTTCATTATTTCCGGATGTCGAATTGTTGATGTTGGATTTCGTTCACCGTATTCGGCAAATGTTGCCGCATTACGTGTCCATAAACTATCATTCAGATCAATGTCAACTTTTCTGGATAATCGTTTATCTTCGTCAACTTGTTCAGTTAGTGGTAACTAAAAGTTTCATTTTTTATTTTAATCAATATTATATGAATTTTTTCTTTTGACTTAATTTTATTTTAATCAATATTATACGAATGTTATAATTACTAATTTTTATTTTATTTTATTGTTAATTTTCTTTTGTTTGATAATATTTTATTACATTTGAACATTAACTGATATATTTTTATCAAAATTTGATTATTTAATGGAGGAAAGAAAAAAAGATTATAATAAATTTAAAATTTAAATAAACAAAAAAGTGAATAATTATTATATTATAGAACCTTTCGTCTTCGACCTTCCCTGAATAATCGTTTACTTGATCGAGTTTCATTTAAAAGTAAACTAGTTGTATTAATAATATCAGTTTCAGCACTTCCACGACTCCTTGACGTATTCGACTTTTCTAACATTCCAACAATAGCTAATTCAACAATTGATAAAAAAATATATCCAACACAACCGAACATAAATAAATCCAAACCTTTCACATATGAAACCTGAAAATAAATTTTATAAAATATCAAATATCTAAAGAAGTACCATACGGAAAAATATAAGTTAAGAAAAATTGTTGATAGTTTATTATCCTAAGTTTATTTTAAAAGTTTTTTTTTTTTTTTTTTTTTTAACAAATTAAAGTAAAGTAAAATTCTGTTCAAAAATCAAAATATGCAAATTTTGGTTTCAATTTTTAAACAAAAAATACCACACAGAAATATAAGTTAAGAAAGTTGGTAACATTTGAAATTTATTCTAAAACTTTTTTGCTAAGAAATCAAAGTAAACTTTTGATTACATATAGAGAAATTTTAATACAATTATTTTGTCTTATTTGAAACTTTCAAAATCAAATACGCAAATTTTTTTTTCAATGTTTAATTAAAATTAAATTTTAAATTATTAATAGAGCAAAATTTTGTGAATTGAACTAAAAAAAAAAAATTTTCGTGTTATGATGATTAAACCTTTGGAAGTGTCCTTGCAACATTTGAATATTGTAAAGTAAGTGCCATCATTGATGAAACGCCAACAGTTACCCGTGCGGGTAATGATCGACGATCTAACCAAAATGATATCCATGAAATGAGTACCATACAATAAGTTGGAAGGTAAATTTGTAACAGATAGAAACCGTATGAGCGACGAAAATATAATTTTATATTTAACTGTAATTATATAAATCTTAAATTAATGCAAATTTAATTTTATTAATTATTATTAATTATGAAATGTAAAAGTAATAATTATAAAATCAATATTTTATTAGAAAACAATTTTCTACAAGTTTTAATATAATTATATATATATATATATATATATAATGATAATAGTAAAATGAAAATTTTAAATATTATACTTATAATATTATAATGTTAAATTATATATTCTATCATTTTGCTATATTTAAGTAATCAAGCACTTATCAGTAATATCATTATATTATTAAAAGCTTTATTAGATTTAACTAATTAAACACTTATCAATAATATTACTACTATGTAAATGTTTTATTAAAATAAATTAACATTTATTTTACTGTATAATCAATTGTTAGCAAAAAATTATTTATTTCAAAAATTTAATTACAAAAATTTATCTTTTTTAAATAAATCACATTTATTTTAGTGTCTAATCAATTGTTAGAAAAATAGAATTTCGAAGAGAAATTATAAAAATGTTCTCTCTTTTTTTGCTGAAACTCAAAAATTATTTGAGATGTTAAGCACAGCATGAAGTTATACAAATTGTATTAAAAGTAATAATAGTTATGATTATAAAATCAATATTATATTAGAAAATAATTTTCAACAAATCTTAATGTAATTTCATATATAATAATAAAATGAAAATTCTAAATATTGTGCTTAATTATAATTTAAATTATATATTCTATTACTTTGTCATACTTAATTAATTCAGCACTTATTATGAGAGATATTATTATCATTGTGAGCTTCATCATATTCAATTAATTAAGCATTTATCAGAAATATTATTATCACTGTAGGCTTTATCATATTTAATTAATTAAGCACTTATTATCAGAGATACTATTATTATTGTAAGTTTTATCATTAATTGAATGATTAAACATTTATCGATAATATCATTATTAATTATTATTATTATTAAGTATTATTATTACATTACATACATGATCCCAAACACCCGCTGGATAATGGAATGATGCTTTTTCATGAATGTAATGTGTCATATGAAAATCCGGTAAATTTGTTTCACCAATTACTTCAACCGGAATACCATGACGTTTCCAGTGTAGACGAACTTTACCAATATTAAATGAATAACTTTCAAAAACCATTATGCATTCAACACGATCCATTGGAAAAATTGAAAAATCCATTTCACATGGTGTTTCAACCATAATCCTTAAAAAATAAATAAATAAATAACAAAAAAATTTTTTATTTTTATCATCAATTGCTTCACTTCAACAATTATCATCTAAACTTTAATAAAAACAAATAATAAATAAGTATAATTTATTGAGTTAAAAAATTTTTTTTTTTACTAATCCTATATTAATTTCTAGTTTTTTTATATCACTGATAATTTTATCACATAATAAATTAATTAACTAACTGATAAAAAATTTTCTAATAATTAAAAAAAAAAATTAATATAACTTTTTTATAACCTGTAATTTATCCAAACGGTACCATTCGGTAAAATAGAAAGGAAAACATTTGGTGTAGGTGAATGATGTATCAGTGAACCTTTACTATTTACAATACAAACATTTGGTAACCATAATTGTTCAACCATTCGATGTGATAAAGTTAAATTTTGTACACAATCTGCTCCTTCCATATCCTTAAATAAATAAAAACAAAAAACAAAAAATGATAATAATATTTGAATTTTATCAATTTTTTTCCTTTTTTTTTTTTTAACTTAATGTTATTATTTTTTATTCATTTATTTTCAACTTAATTAAACGATAAAATTTAATGAAATGATTTAAATCATTAAATGTAAACAATCTCTCTTTCACTCTTCTTCCTTCTCCCTCGTAATAGATTGATAGCATTTAAATAGGAATGCAAAAAGCAATCTTTAAAAAAAAAAGAAAAAAAAAGGTTTTATTTTTTTGAAAGTAAAAAAAATTCCTTCGTATTTTTTTTTTTTTTCAAAATGGAAAAAAATTTCAAATTTACCTGAAATGATAAGTTAGGATCACGCCAAATTTGCGCTAATAAAATATGCATCTTAGAACTGCTATGTATTTCAGAAATTTCAGATATCTAAAACTTAATAAATAATAAAAAAAATTTGTTCTTTTATTTATTAATTTAATAATAAACTTAAAAACTATAATATTATTATTTACCAATAAAAAAAAAGCAAATAAGTTAAAAAATTTGCGAAAATAAAAAAATAACAATAGTAATTTTTAAGTATTTCTTTTTTTGTTTATCAAAATTATATTGATTAAAAATTCAAAAAAAAAAAAAAAAATAGAAAAAAAAATTATAGAAAATTTTGATGAGAACCTGCTGAATAAGTATTTCAACATCAACATCAACACCTTTTGCTTCTGGCACTAAATTTCGATCATATGTTTTCAATAATTCTGTTAAAATTCTAAAAAATATATATATATCATAAAATTATTTAATTAGTAAAAAATTAGAGTAATTTTTAGTTATTTAAAAAAAATATCACAGATAAATTTATTGATAAACGCTATCAGCTGTTGTTACATTGATAAAATTTTTAGAAAAATTTGCAAAAAATTCTCCAAATCATTTGTATTTCTTAGAAAACTTTTGTCTTAATAATATTATTACTACAAAATAATTTGTAATATTTCATTTGGAAATTTTCACCTCAATTAATCATTCATCAATTATTATGTAGTAAATTTTAAATTTTAAACAAAAAAGAAAAAATTGTAAAAATTTGATGATAAAAATTGCAATATTACATATAAAAAGAAAAAGAAAAAATAAATTAATTTTAATCGAAAATAACTGAATAAGCAAAATAATATACTTTAGCAAAATCAATTATTTGTTTATTTTAAAACCAAAAAAAAAAAGGGAAAACAATTTAAGTTCAGAAAGATATTACTTACTTTTCAGCTCTTCCTTCATCTTGTCCCATAAGACATTTATTATTTGACATATTAATTTCACGAGCTTCTGCAAAAGAAAAAAAAAGAATATAACACTTTCATTTATACTTAAATTTCTAAGTCAACCTCCTTTTTTTTTTTTTTTTTGATACAATTTTATTTAAAAAAGAAATTTTAAAATTTGAAATTAAAAAATCCGTTTACCAGGCATATGGTGACATCTTCCAATACTATCAGCGACAAAGCCAGAACGACAAATACAAGTTACTTTACCCGTACTACTACTTTTTTGACAAAATGATGAACGTAAATCACACTTCTCACAACCTAAATTATTATTTTATAGTATGAATTAAAAAAAGAAAAAAAAAATCTTAGCTAAATAACTAACTGTAAACAAATTAATAAGTAAACAAAATAAATCAATAAAGATACTATTTACTTAATTCTTCAATTTTATTGTTCAAATTTTTACAACAAATATAATTATGATTATAAAAAGTACTTCATTTAATATACTAATAGTAATAATACAATAATAATAACAAAGTTTCTGTAAAAATTGATTATAATATCTATAATATGAATAAAGATTGAAAGAGACTGAAATTCAAAATTAAACTTAATCGTTTATTAATTGGTGAAAAATGATGGCGCAATTGTCTTGTAAAGACAAAAATTGTGAACCATTTGAATAAAACTTAAACTATTAAATATTTGAAATATTTAATATAATACAAAATGAGCAAAGACTACCAGTACAAGAACATTAATTTTATTTGAGGAAAAATTTTTTGATTGTAGTAAAAATTTTAAAATGACATTTTGTTATCAAAATTTTGACATTGATAGATAGATGTTTATTAAATGTTAAAAATAGCATTTTCACTTTTTTCATAAAACTTAAATTGTTAAATATTTCTATTTGATCAATCAATATATTTTCTCTTGTTAAAATGATGAATGCATCGATCAAATTGAATTAATTCATTTAATTTAATCAAAATATTGGACAAAAACAAGAAGAAAAAGATTAAAACGAAACTTTGTATTTGCTATTTACTCTAATAAATATAACAAATAATTAGATATGAAATTTTATTGAAATTATGATATTTGCATGAAATTTTTGAGATTTTCACTAAAATTATTTCTGTTTTTATTTTTTGGAAAAAAATTGTTTTTTTTTTTGTTTTTAACTTTTATTTATTTAAATTTTTTTAATTAAACAAGTTTTTTAATTTTTATTTCTACTTATTTATTTTTACTAAAAAGCAAACATTATATTTTTTTAAAAAAAAAAATGCAAAATTATCTCTTATAAATAAGAATTAGTGTAACATAAAATGATAATGACAATGATAAGATTTGTAAAGAAGGAAACAAAGGAAAAGTTTATAAGTTAAAAATTTTTTTGAAATTTATGAAACAAACCTGAGAGTTCGGTATTTGCAGTTGCCTGAATAATTTGAATAATAAGTAAAGCAGTTGTTTTCAGTAAAAAAATCAGAGTATATGGATAATTCATTCACCACCTATACCGGTATTTCTTATATGAGTCCGGTGGATCACAATAAAAATCATAAAATTCACCTACAAAAAAAAAAAAAAAAAAAGATTGAAAATTGATGTAAGCAAATTGCATTTATGATAATTGCTTAAAGGTGTGCAATAATAGCTCAAAATCATCGAAATTTTATTATAGGAAACATAACCATTTGATGATTATAAAAGAGAAAGAGAGAGAGATAGAGGGAGGGAGAGAGAGGGAGAAAAAAAGACTTAAACGATTTTAACATTCTAAAAAAAAAAGTGAAAAATGAATAAGATGAATTAAATAAGTAGGTCGGTCTATTTATTATGTCAATAAACGAATTCAAGTAAGCTAAGCTAAAAACCAATCATTTTTTTCGTTTTTTTATTTTTTATTTTTGATAAAAAGAATTTAATATTAACATATAATAATAAAATTAACATTAACATATAAATATTATTAGCATATTTATCAAATATTGCGAAGCATTAAAACGAGAGTGTTAGAATAAAAGCAACAAAATACAGCTGATGTCAGAAATTGTTGAAATTAATTAATGTTGATTTCAATTGATGGTTTTAAAAATTAAGCAATGATGTAAGATATAATTCGGCTTTATTTCATTTATAAGCTAATTGTAAAATTTTAAAAATAATAAATGGGTTCAATTTTGCTAGCAGAATTAAATGAAAACAACTTTTGTTATCATGTTGATTGTAGTGGTAGTGATGATTGCTAACATGAAGTGATGATCATTTCTTTGTGTACAAATGTTTGAATAGATGCTAAATGTTAATTTAAAAATATTTTATAATATAATTAATGCTTTTTGTTATCATAAATTGAATAAAATTGTAAAAATTGGACATTTAGAAATGTAAATAAATAATTGATAATATTGTAATTAAATTTAATCAATGCTAACAAATAGGTTTATATTATCAAGTGATTACTTTTATATGTTTTATAGAATAAAAGAATAAAAATTATTGTCAAATTTTAATTGTTATTCTAATTTAAATGCTATTAACTTCATTTAATTGAACCACTTTAACCACCTGCTAATTGAATAGCAATAATAATTGTAATTTATGAGAATAGGAATGTATGAATGACGTTATCATGATAATAATAAAGTTACTACTATTGCTTAATTCACTGATAAAAAATTAAAAATTAGTGATATGAAGGGAAAAAAAGAAATATTAAGATAAGCTAAGGTAATATTTTTTCAAGAAATTTATTGAAAAATAAGTCAAACTTATTAAATGTGTAAGTTTTGTATAATAATTTCAAGAATAGGTTTAGCTAGGTTATTCATCAATTCAAAAGAGATAATGAAAAAAGTTCATTTACAAAAATTGAATTACTAAAAGAATTAAATTGAAATGAAATTTTTTGATAAGCAAATACATAGCTATATTTATTTGTGAGAAATCAATGAAAAAAATATTTATTCGCTGGAGGAAAATTATCGATTTATCAAGTAAAATAAATTCATTCTGATTTTCATATCCACAAGATTTTACCAATAAATCATCAACAACAGATTTCTTTTAAAAAAAGCCCTGTGTAAAATTTAAAAAAAAAATGGAAGATAAATTTAATTATTAATCAAGCAAAGGAAGTAAAAGAAAGACATGTAAATATTAATAAAGTGAAAATTTAATGTGTATCATTTATCTACCTATAATTAGAAATAATAAAATTATTTCAAAAAAAACAAAAACAAATATATCTCTTGTAAAACAGATCCAATTATTATTTACAAAAAAATGATGAAGAGAAATTTTAATGGGTATTATATATGTTTGTACTTTGTATACTTGTTTAAAAAAACTAACTTATTAACTTATTATTTAAAAGAACTAACTTATTATTTAAAAAAAGTTACAAAGATAATGATTGAATAATTTATTCTAAACGAAAAAAAAAATAGAAAGAAATAACAATGCATTAGAAATTTGCAAATTTAATTAACAATAGTAATTGTTAATGATTAAATAAGTTTTTTTTTTTAAAAAAAAAGGTTAAAATTAGAAATAAAAATTTATACTTTTTTCTTACCACATATATACTTATCAAATTCTAATTTAAGTAAAAAAAAAAAAACTAAACATTTTTGTTCGAATAATAATATTAGATGAAAATTGCATCCACTAAAAATGTTTTACAATTTAAATATTCTTTTATTTGCCACAAAAAAAAAGAAAATGTAATTAGTAGATATAATTCAATTCTTCATTAATATAATTAATTTATATATAATATTAGAAAGCAAAACTGAATTCAATATATTATTAGAATGTAAAATTGTATTCAAAAGAAAAGAAATTCAAATAATTTTCTCTTTCTTTTTTTCTTTTTTTTTTTTTATCTTTTGAATTGGTTAAAAAGAAAAGAAAAAAAAAAAAATGCTTTTAAAAATGAGAAAGACGTCCTACTGATATGGAAGTCAAATTAATGTGATGTTTACGCTGGGAAACGAAAATGGAAAATCACACAATGAAAGAAAATGCATTTTTTTTTTTTAACTTTAGCTTTAAGGGCGAAACATCATTTTCATTCACACGGTACTTGTGGGAAAGTATATGGTGATTTAGTGTTATGTTTAAGGCTTTTACTAATTCTCCGGGAAGTTAGTAGACTTCGGGAAGCTAGTAGACTAGACATTGACTTAACTAGACTAGCTATTTTATTTTATCTATTTTCTTCATTTATTTATTATAACATAAAAGAGACTGCAACCAAATTTTGTTTTTTTTTTTTTTTTTTTTTTTTTTTTTTTACTTGATTAAATTAAATTAAATATTATTCATCGATTTTTATATTTTTAATTTATTAATATGGTCGTTTTCGTCGCTCTTTTTTGTTTTTTGTCCAAACTTTTTTGTTTTTATGTTGCTTTTTTATTTTTGATATGAATTTTTTATCATCTATTTGTTTCATAATAACAAATTATAGCAATTGCTAATTTTTTTTTTTCAAGTTTCCATTTTTTTAAACAAATTTTGTATTATAATTTTTAGACTTGACAAAAGTAAATATATAAAAAGCATAAAATTATTAAGTATTATTAAGCTAAGCACAATTGTATTATTATTATTAATCGTTAAATAAAATTACTTTTTGTTAGCTTTCTTTTTTTTTTAGCACTTTTGATTAAAAAAAAAAAGGGGAAAAAGGAAAAAGAGAAGAAAATATTAAAAAATGATGCAAAATTGATATCAAACTAAGATATATTGATATAAAGAAAAATTATTTCCACTTCTTTTCATTCCCTTTCATCTATTTCATTCATTTCTTTTTGCAATATAGAATTATAAATTAAATTACTAAAAGCATTTTCATAGAATATTTTAATCTTTATCTATTTAACTTTAACATTATAAATTTATCATCATGTCAACATTTCCTTTTGCAACAGAGAATTATAAATTAAATTACTAAAATACAATAGTATTTGACTTCCTTTAACTTTAAAACTTTTTTTCAAATATTACTAATTGCTAGCTTTCTAATATAATATGTTAACATGCAATAAATTTAATCAAAATGTATTAATTAAATAATTTAAGGTTTGAGAAAATGAAACTTTTTTTGGAATTTTTTCTGAAAAAAGAATTGAAGTATAAAATGTTAGATTGTTATTGAAAATTCTTGAAAAACTTTCGTTGTTATTTTTTACCAAATTATTTAGCAAAATAGTTAAATTTATTTTTGCAAAGTTTTTTTATTTGCATTCGTTTTCAACAAAACTAAATGATATAATTAAAATATTTCTGTCTAATTAGGAATAGTAGCATTGGTTGATAATATTTTTTTACTAATTAAGCCAAATGCTAAAATAATTAATACCATATTATCATACTAAGACTATTGTTTAGATCGAAACTAACATTTCAAAATTTGCAATGCAATCAATAGGATAAGCTAATACAATTATTAAAACAAGAAATTAATGGTTCCATTTGCTAATTAAGTTTTTTTGCAGTTAAAAGTAGAAAAAATATAAGCTAGAAAATTAACTAGCCTGGTCGGTTGATAATGTGAAGTTTATGTACTTTAATATATGAATTAGGAAATGGCAAATTCATATTTCAGCAATGTGAGAAATGTTCCGATGATGGCAATTTAAAATTTCTCATAGATGTTCCTTATAAAGTTGTTAATAACTCCAAATATAATTTAACTTAATTACAAGTAGGATTACTTAATCAACTAATATTAATAATAAAACTTAAATATTCGAAAAAAAAAAAGCATACCAAAGCATAAATTTTACGAAGTTATGTAAGTGAAATAAATTATATCCTTCTGCGTATTTTTAATTTTAAAACTCTTCAACTCACTTTTATCAATTTTATTTTAAGACTACAATAATAATAATAATAATTTAAAAATCATATCAAAGTGTGTTAAGACTGCAACTAAATTTTTTAAATTTCTTCCAAAGTTTGTATTGTATCAAACATTTCTTCGTATTTAATCAATACATTACTTTTTTTAAACTACTTGTAAAATTGAAAGAATTATTGGTATTTAAAATAAAATTTGAAGACATTAACTTAGTGTTTCACTTATATATCGAATTATCGTCAAGTGCCTTGAAAGAATTACTTTATCCTAATCCAAACTTTAACTCATTAAGCTTATTATTTTAGCAATTTATGGTAAATTAACTTTTACTGTAGTTATTTCTGCGTTTTTCATCTCTTTCAAAATTGACTTACTTATGAATTATCAATGTTTTTGCCAATAACAATAAGTTTATTTCATCTATTCTAGAAATTTCAGAAAAAATTGGCACACACATGCGTACAGACACAATCATATTGCACATTACCGTATTCCCATACATACAGACATGGCTATACTGTATATTACCGTATTCCCATGTTTTAGAAGAACGAGTAATATTTGGGATGTTGCAACTGTTTTGCAAAATGTATCAATTTCAAATATAATATTGAACTTTAGACTATTTAACCAAAACATATTGATTTTTACTGGAATGTTATTTGATTGAAAGTGGCCAATAAGCCAAGAGCTTAAATTAGCTTTTTTTTTTTTTTTTTTTTCCAAGGAAATTAACCAACCAGAAGCAATAATATTGCACTCATGCAGATTATTGGATTAATCTTCAAAGAGATTAACGACTAATAGGTAATATTAATATGATAGTGATTCTCAAATATTTCAACGTAAACATAACAATTTATTTTAGTGATTTTTTTTTTTTTTTCAATTTTTTTTTTTTATTGTCATCAAACTTTGATAATAACCAAATAGAAATTGAAACGATGTTAAAACTATAATGAAATTTCTTAACAACAGACAAACAAATAAACTTCGTGTCTAATAATAGCTGTGAGAATTACAGCAAATGGAAATAATATGAAATAAAAAAAAAAAAAAAAAAATGAAAAGGTTAAAAATATCATATATCAATAAAGGATTTTCAAATTTTTGTCAAAATTTCTCAAATTTTGACATTTTGATATATTCTCAAATTTATCAAAATTTATACTGCTAAGTCATTCAATGGTTTATTAAGCAAATTCATAGCATTGCAATATTTATGTAAAATTTATGATACATATATTTGTATATTTGTGCATATGTACTGAAGACATAAATATTTGTAAATGAATATTATTGTTTATTGAATTTAAAAACTATTAATTAAGTGATTTTTTTGATTTTAATTTATTTGTACTCTAAGACTTTGGAAATTTTTATTGTAAATTTAGTGCAATTGATTATATTACATATCTCACAGTGCATTCTTGTTTTTGTTTTATAACTTCTTTTTTAAATGTTTATATATATATATATATTATATATATATATATATATATATATATTATATATATATATAACAAATTTGTTTTCATAATTTTTTTTCTTTTTAACGATTTTCCTAAGATTCAATTTTTTCAATTTTTAGGAATGCAAAAATTTTGGAATGAAGTCAAGAGTAACAAATGTTAGAAAAGTTAACAAATAAAATTAGAAAAGTTTGGAAATTGAAAAGTAAATTTGATCATGTATGTTAGTTGAAAAAGAAAATCAACACATTAAAATAAATAAATCTTTAAAATCAACTGCAAATTGCAACGATGAAAGATTTTGAGGAAAATCTAGTAATTCATCAGGAATCATCTCTTTTCAAATCATTTGGCGCAATATGTCATGTCATCGGCATCATGAGAAAGATTAGTAATAATAACAACTTCCAAGTTGATATGTTTAACTCATCCAATTTGTTAAACAACTGCTACTTTACTGATTTTTAACAAGTTGAAAGAGAGAGAAAGAGGAGAAGAAAGAAAGAGAGAGAGAGATAAGTAATCATTATCAGAATGAATAGAATGAAACAAACGAATTCACTAATCAGTACAAACATTTATATATATAATATATCTTTTCTTATTTTCTCTTCTTCTGTCATCATCTAATATTTTAATAGATAGGAATATGATATGATATCAGTTTAAATTGTCGTTTACAAATGCAACAAATTATTGACGAAATTTACGTTTTTTTTTAAATCAAATCCATAATTTATAAAATAAAAAATTTGATCTTTTCTTTTTTTTTTTCTTAAAAAAAAAATGAAACAAGTGAGCCGTAGATTGGTGAAGCAAAGAAGGAATTCCAGAAATTAAAATACTTCTAGAATTTCTAACAGACAAAAAAAAAAGAAAAAAAATGGATCGAGAACAGCTGTCTTATGATTATAACAATCTATGATTATATGATTGGTACAAGATAAATGTGAATAAAAATTTGGAAAACAAAAATTTTTTCTTCCAAAAAATTGTAATGCATTTTTTTTTTTTTTTGTAATACTAAATATTACTGTGAAATATAAATGTATAAAATAAAATAATCAGTACTAATCATAATATGTATCTAAGCAAAATACTTACCCAAATTCACTTTTTTTTTTTTCGTTTCGTTTTTTTTGTCGCATATGCAAATATAATTTTTAATTTTTTTTTTTTTCTGAGATTTTTTTGTCAACTATTTATTCAAAATCATTCAATTTCTAAACACATTTTTTTTTCTTTTTTAGTTTTTGCTTTTTTTTCTTTTTGTAAACTACTGTTAGTATTGCTTAGAGCAAAAAGGAAAAAAAAGGAAAAGAAATTGCTATTCTTAATGAAAAAACTTTTTTGAAAAAAATTTAAACTAATTTAAAAAACTTATATAGTTGATAAAAACAACAAAAAAAAGTCAAAAATAGAACAATATTACACAACAAAATACATAGATTTAAGAGCACATATAGAAATGAGTAACATTTTATAGATGAAATAATAAGAAATAATAAAAAATTGTTAAAGTTATACAAAAGGAAAGAAAAAAAAAAAAGATTTTCCTTTTATCATCAATAAAGAATAAAAATGTCAATTGGAAAAACAAAAATATTCTCACATGATTTCATTATGTTGTTATCACATCATTACTGAGATAGCAACATAATTCAGCATGTTTTTGGATTCATTTGGAATTGTGTGAATGCTTTAATTCAATTGATTAAATTTTGTGAAAGCATAAAAACATAAAAAAATTTTTATTGCTTTAAAAGTTTATTGTTAAGTAAACATTTGATAGATTTTATATTAATTAATGCATTCCTTATAATTTAGTATATCTATTATTTCTGCTTCATATTAACTAGCAATGCTTTTATTTCAATGTTATTAGATTCCATATTTTTATAATTTTTGTATATATGAATTATAAACTTTTAGTATGAACCTATTTTAAAAAAAAAAAATTTCAAAAAGAATTCAGAAAGAAAAAGATATATTGTAGAAGAGATAAGGATAATTTTAATGGTAAAAATATTAATTGGTATAATAAAGAATATGAATTTAATTAGTTAAAATTTATTCAATATCAAAATGTTGGTTAAAATTATGGAAAATTTAAGCACTGTAGAATTAATTATATATTATATATATATTATACATACAAATTCTAACTCTAATTTAAGCAGTAACAAATTTTACAAATAATTTTATCTATAATTCTATGATGAAATAAAACATTTTAATAGATTGTCAATACAAATGAGAAGTGAATAATCAAAAGCTGATTGATTTGATTGAATTTGAAATTTTCAATATTATAGCTAGAATATCCATTAAATTTCTTTTCTAGATGATAATATATCATCTATTAAACAAATTTATCAAATGATCTCTACTGATAGGATAACTTCTTCGAATGATAAAAGTAATACCGAGAAATGTTAAAGTTTTTTTTTTGGTTTTCATTAAAATCATGATAATAAGTAGGAACTATTCAGGGTGATAGCATTGATTACTAGTATTATTTATAGTCGTAATTATTATCTATTTGATCTAATAATACTTTTTCTTGATATTAAAATATTAGTAGAAGTATCTTTTAAATTTAATACTATAATTTATATTGAAAATTTTCAGGTATTTTCAACTGCAGAAAATATTAAAATTTAGATTATGCAAGTATATTTTATATTGTTTAAATTTATTTCTAATGCTAATATTCTATTTTTTTTTTTCTCACCAAAAGGCACTAATTTTTGTAGCATAACTATCAGCTTCATTTATACACAGTCAAGCTAGCAAGTTGCAAGCCAGAATGGAAACTTTTCCGCATAATAGTATATTAAGATTCCAATAAAATGCTCAAATGTTTCAACAATTGCTTGAAATTCGAATAAAATACTTAAAAGTGCTAAGATTTGCTTTATATAACAACCAATATTTTACATCAAGGGCAGATACTTCATCCTCTTTAACATTTTGAGTATTTAATTAAAGATAAGCATCAAATAAGTAACAAATTTCTCTGCTTGCCAATTTATATTTGCTCTTTTTCTGTTACATAACATAAAAAAAATAGATGAATAACTTCTGGAAAATCATTCAAATTTGAATTGAACATTGCACCGCTAGTTGCTTACTTTAGTTGTAGCACAAGTCTCAAAATTTTATTGTAGTATGAGAGAAAATTTATTAAATAATACTTGTTATCATTCATTTTACATTGTCGGTATGAAGAATTCACGGGGAAAAATATTGAAAGTTGATGCAGAAATAAATTAAACAATGGATAATTATATAAATACAGATAAATACACTTAATAATAAGAAATAATCTAAAAGTTACAAGAAAAAAAAAAAACATTAAAAACAAAATATACAAGAAAAATATATACACTGTTGCAAATATATGCATAGCAGGTGCTACAAGGCTATCCTACAAGAACTATTAGAAAAAAATGTAGAACTATTACATGATACAGCTTATTTATTTAATACTGAGTTATTGAATTGCTATGATTTTTTTTAATCCATCTACCAGAAGTTAGCATACTGCAGTATTTATCTATTGTTCTCGATTTGAAATATCATAATTCATGTTGAGTATAAAATTTAATCTTAAAACTGATTTGGACTGGTGCACTGAAAAAAATGCGAAATGGGAGAAAAAAAAAAAACCTTATCTTTTCTGATTTCAATTCGAAATATTTATTTTTAAAAAAATGTACAAACCTAAAAGCTTTCCAGAATCTCAGTATCGAATCTACTATCGGACCTAGCAAACAGAAGTTTATTTCTATCTTTTCATTACTATTAATTATCTTCCTAGTATTTCCGCTTTATATGAATATCGAGCTAGAATTTGAATCAACTAAGTACAGATGATAAATCAATTCGATAAACAGCAATTTTGAAGTAAACTGTAGATATACAAAAAAGAACTTCATTTTCATTCCGGCCTGCTACAGCAGTTATACGATCTGCATCCGGCAAAACTGTCGCTTTTGCTATAAGATATGCATGACAAGTCTACAATATAATATATATATATATATATATATATATACAATATATACAATTAGTAGACTTATTAAAAAAAAAAAAATCATATTAGATAGATCAAATATTTGCAAACTTTAGAAGATTTAACAACTCTTTCAAATTACTAGAGAAGGAAAAATAGAGAGAACGAAGGGATAATACAGATGAAAAAAAAAAGCAAAAGTGTAGAAAAAACTAGACTTTTTAGCATTAAATTTTGGAAACAATACAAAGTAATTATATTAATATGATCTCTTTGAAGTAAAAAAAAGAATAAACATTTTTATCTAAGAACTTACGTTATGGTCATTCCATCCATAGATGAGTAAGTTACCGAAAATATCCAGTGTCATCACAACATGCATATTCTGCAGATTAACAGTAGTTGCACAAATAAAATCGCCTGCTGGATTTTCTAATGCTATCTCGGTGTCATTTTCTGCAAAAGTAAAGAATATCTCATATGCAGGATACATGCAATTACTACTAAATGATAATTCAGAAGAGTTTAGCTTTCATAGCAGGTTAACTGTCATTGTTAGATATGTCAAACTAGTTAGAATAATTAAAAATTATTGATAAATTTTTCAACAAATTTAATATAGCTAATATTCTAAAGTGCATTGTAATATTTTTACTGTTTTATGTTCAAATAAATAAGTATAAAATAACCTGGATTAATCACAAGCAGTCGAGCAGCAAGTGATCCAACTAAACTCAGATATACCGGCTGATTGGGTACCATCAACTCTCGATTCGAAGCATTCGAAGCTAACGTTTGTGGCAAAATATTACAAATATTTGAACTAAAATCAATTTTCACCACATAATTTTCACTCCGTTCTGCCAGAAGTGCATAATATAAACCAGAATTCGTGATACCAAGTGCGAAACCATAAACATGCGATGGTACTTCATATTTATTCAATGATGCCAGATGATTCGCAACATATCGATAAGTTCTTACTAAAATTCATATTTAAATAAAAGATCATAGCCTAAGCTTCAAAATATCATCAAAATTTGTTGGTATTCCATTTCAGTGTTTTGAATATTACTGAAACACAATCATTTATAACACACATAATCGATATGGATTGACTTTTTTTTTAGGTTAGAAGAAAATCATATTTTAAGTAAGCTAAAATTGAAAAAACGTTTTGGACAACCAAAATGAAGCAAATCTAATATTAACAACAAAAATAACTAACCGCATCGATCAGTCATCAAAACCAGCAACTCTGATAAACCATCACCATCAATGTCACCAATATATGATGTGCATATATTAGCTTGAATCAGTTGTTCAAAAAGTGGTAAAGGCTTCTGTAAATCTCCGCTCTGCGCATCTGTTTGTGGAAAATCGAAAGAACGTATCTGACCACCTGCTGATATGGCAACTATTTCATCGCTAAAAAGATATCCAATACACAAATGCAGAATAAAAATGTCTTAAAGAAAATTATCACATTTATTTCAAGTTATTCAAGGTACTAAAAATTAGTGATCTTAATGTTTATCAATTTAATGCAGCTATGACTAAGAGCTTACAGTTGTATGATTGGTTAAAATTAAAATTCTGATCTTACTGAAGCAAACAAACTAAACAAACTATATGAACTCTTTCATAAACCGACCTGCTTTGTCTTAGTTTTCCAAAACAAATTGTTGTCAAAGAACTTTTAAAGATATTTTCTAGCTGTGTATATTGCTTTCTGGTTGTAAAGAATAGTAACTGCAAAAAGTCAATTAAGATCGGTAGCTAGAAATACGAATTAATGAATGGTTCATTTTTATAACACGGAAAAAAGCGTAGTAAAGGAAAATGATGATAGATCCGGAATAAAATAAATAGACAATCGAAAAAAAAAAAAAAAAAAAAAAAAAACCTCACACTAATATAATCAAACAATGAATTTTAAAACTTTAAAAATCGTCATCAATCTTCCATCCAAGAAGTAATTATATTAGTATATGTTCATCGGAATGAACAAATTCTTACAGTCACAGGAAAATGTTCCGGTAGAAAAGATCAATGAACAGGAACTTAAACGATATCTTTCAGGAAGCTTTTCTTCATATTTCAAAGAAAGTTTCGTTCCAGTTCATTGTTCTACTTACAACTGATAAAATAATTCTAGAACAGTTACTAATGTACTAAGTTTTCACTACTTGCATAGACAAACATACAAATTCCTTACAATCTTTAGCTGAAATACAAATGCTCCAACCACTATAGCAGTGGTACCACTGTCCACACCGGAAAAAACCAGAAAAGACTAACGTCACCATTGCATTTGCCGATAACGATGAAAAGCTGTTGTTGATTTCGTGACCATACCATTAATACACTAGAAGAAGGTGTATTAAGATGGGTAGCAAACAGAACTGCGGCATTAACATTTGCGCCAGATCTTGAGATTTTCAACTCCGAACAAATCATCTTTGGGACATCCTAGAAAATAACAGATTATGTTGAACACCGAAGAATATTCAAGAGGATGAAATTACTAGATAAATAGACTCTTCAATATTTTCTAAGTCAATGAAAAAACAAACTATTAGCATTGCTCATCGTGTTAGACTTTGTCAAAATAGGTTTTTTTCTTCTTTTTTTTCACCAACAAAATAATGAGCATATAAAGCTTATTTCAATCATAAGCTCAAATTTTTTTTAATTCATAACGAATTTTTTTTTTTTCTAAATCTAAAAATCACATTGTTATTCCTTGCAAAAACTCATAATCATAGATTAAATTGAACTAAAACTACCTATTCTTTCGCTGTAAACAATCTATTTTAATGCTTTTAAAAATATTAAAAGGAGAAATGCAAAATTCCAACGAAATATGGAACCTTAATTTTTGAGACAAGTAATTAAGTCTACGATAAGAACTGATTCTAGGAAATAGGGAATGAACACTAGTTGCTCTGAAAAATACAGTAATTTCCAAAAATTAGAAATTCAAAAATATAATTTATTACTATATTCAGCACTTTAAATAAATTATTAATTACAATGCGAAATATCAGAATAAGTGAAGTGAAGAAGAAAACAATTTATGCTAGTGAAAGTTAAGCAAAATGTTTCTAAGAAAACAACAAATTTACAGCCATCAATAGTACTTCCCTTTCTCAATTAGCTAAAGTTTAGTATGCTAAACATTCCAAATAAACTAGGAAGAAAAAAGGAAGAAATGCCTTTGACAATCATTTATTCAATTTTATCATGTATTTGAAGGCATTCATGTCATTTCTATTAATGAAAGCTTTAGAAAAGACCTCTTTTTGAAGGTTTACACCTCTGGTAAAATTCAACAAATGATTGTTATCAGCAAAAAAAAAAAGAAAAAAAAATTATTTAAAAAAATAACAAGCTAGATATTAAATAGAAATATATAATGTCAGCCAGAAATAAAAGGAATGCATTGATGATAAAGGGAAGCAAAATAGAACAGAGCATTATCAGGAACTGTTTTTTGATCAAAAACAACATCCGATAGCATATGAATTAAAGATTAATGTTCACTACATACATTAAACATGAAAGGAAGGATTGGAAAACAGATGAAATAAAATAGAATTATTAATCTCAAATAATTAAAACTCAAATTTATTAATCACGATAGAATTCAATTCCATTTTCCCTTCAATTTTAAGTAATGTTAAATAATATATAATGTGCAAAAAAAAAAAAAAAAAACCAAACAATAAAACATCAAATGATATGTTGTTTCTTGATCCTTTAAGGAACTTATTTAAAAAAAAAAATTCATTAAGAATATAGCAAATACATCGCACATAACTGCATCACAATATCTGCATCAGTTGCTCCCATAGAACCTTTCAATCAACAAAGATAGGGGAGGTAAGAATAAAAGCTACACATCTAATTATAATTCAATCCTTGGGATGCAGTATGTCAGACATTTTGTTTTCTTCATACTAGAATTAGACAAGAATTTTCACTAAACTATAAAATAAGAGAAAAATTTTCTGCTTCCGATAAAATCAGAAAAACAAAGTTTCCTTTCTAGGAAAGAAAAATTAATTAGATAAAAAAAAAAAAAAAAAGGTAGAGAAAAGGAAATCATAAATTTTGAATAGAACTAACAGAAAAAAAAGTGCAGATGGACTCATAAGGTGATTTATATCTTAACAATTCATTGGAAATTTCTATCTTCATCAATTCAGAGCTAAAAAATTTGAAGGACAAAACCAATATAATGATCAGCTCAAATTACTGCCATGAGTAAATAGCAAAATCAAGAATAGCATGCATCGATATTATGTTCGATATTAGAGCAAGTCACATAAATACAATGTAACTCAAAAAACAATTCAAATAAATATAATTTAACAAAAAAAAAAAAAACTTTAAATTACATAGAACTTAAATCGAACGTCCATCAAATTATCGAAATTTTGTCCCTCAGAGTATAGACCTTCGTTTTCCATTACCGTAATTTACAGTAACTGAAGCTTTAGCCATTTTTGAACCATAATGTCCAGCCCAAAATTGCTGATCTTTTCCACTGTGCCGAAATAATACGTAACGAATGCCTTTAGGATAATTCGAAAATGTATGTTCAATCTTTTGCCACTCAATTTCTAAGACTGAAAAAAAAAAAAAAAAAAGCTGTAATAATTAAAGAAAATAACGATGAATTTATATTCAGTAAGCAAAATACATGTAATTACGAAACATTAACAGAGTTCAAATACAAATAACAATATTAGAACGTCTCCATGCATTTATTCAAAATAATAATAATCGTTAACATATTTTATTATATATTATATAGGAAATATATAAATAAATTGCTTTGTCCTGTTTTTTTTTTTTTTTTTTTCTCTTTTAAGTAAAGTAAAAAAAAAAGACACTTAAGTGAAAATTTACCGTCCAACATGCGAATTCGAGTTATTGAAGTATCGGTTGTTTCATCATCTTGTGGCAGACCATGCTGTAATCTATCATGTTGTTGAGGAAGACGAGGATGCCGAGTATAAAGAAGAAATCCTGGCATTGTTCTATGTGGCAAAGGTATAGATCCATCAGGAAGCAATTGTACTTCCAATAAATAAATCGATGCGCAATCGAAACGACCTGTATGATACTCCGAAACGGTGATTGGTGGACAAAATTCATCCAAAAAAGCACGCTAAATGAAATTTTTATTAGGATATGCTAAAAAAAATTGTTTTTGTCGCATTTATTGAAATTGAAGTCTATAATTTTGACCATTAGTGAGTGAATTAATATAACAGTAAAACATAAAATAGAATAAAAATAGAATAGAATAGTAAAACAAACTTTCTTATAATTTATTTTACCTCAATGAGCTAAGGAAAAAACCGTTTTAACTGGCACCAAATATCACCAATAAATAATCGGAATTAACTTAAAAAAGAAATATAGGAAAATGGTATAGGAAAATACCTCAATTCCTTCCTTCCACAAATCAATGATTTGAAATTTACTACACCAATCATAGCTTGTCACAAATGCAACCGGTATTTCTTCCAGTGCTATACAGCCTACTGGTGGTTTCTCGATTTCGAATCTAAATTATGATTTCAAATAAGTAAAATCCAATCAAAAAGCAATAATTCAGACTTTACTGTGTCCAAATCGAGAAAAATACCACATGGTTTGCTTACTCCATTCGTATGCTAATTCTAAGTCACTTTTTCCTCAGCTCTCCTGCTTCATCTGAATCAACTCCATATAATGTTAGAGGATTGAGGTCAGATATAAATATCTGCGAACGATATGGATCTTGTTTCTTTTCCATCGAAAACATTCAAAACAATGAATAGAGACTTCACTCATCACCGCCATCTTCATATATCTCCCAGTTTTGATAACCATCGTCACCACTAGGATTGCTGATCAAATTGCGCCCGAAAGCTTGCTGAAGAGAAACTTTTTTGACATTGAGTGAAGGTTCATTTCGTAAGAAGCTGGGAGGCAAATCCATTGATCGGTATATCATATAACTGATCCAGAAACCGGGAGCAGATAAAACATTGTACCATCGACGACAAACCTGCAATAGCTCTAAGAAAAAAATAAAGTGAAACATTGAATTTAAAATCAGCAATATGTGAAGATAAAACTATAATTCCAAATACCACCGCAAATAAACTACATTCAAATTTACTCAATCAAACAGTTGTATTTTCCGAATTTCCAGTATGTTTGAATACATTTTTTTAATGGTTTTTATAAGTTTTATTTGTTGCATTTTTTTTTTTACATTTTTAATTTTTTTCCTGCACCAACAATTTACATAAACAGATTAACCACTACCAGAATTGATGAAATAACGAATAAGAAGCAAAATAACCTACCAAAGGACATATATAACCAACATCACGACGACCATCAACTCTGACTAAAATTTCTGCGAGAATTTGAGGAGGAATTGGTACACCGTGCAGATAAATGTCGCTTTTACCTTCTGAAACAGACAATCTTCTGTGTATAAGATGAAAAAATGCCCAGAAAAGTTGAAGTACCATATAACCTTCTCAGGAATCACCTTGTCCTCTTATCGTAAAAATATAGAAAGGCCTATCTTGAAATATCAATAACGAAGAGACACACCTTCATCGATTTCTTCATCGTTTTCACTTCGAGATGACCAGGTAACTGTCTCCATCACTACCAACAACTATAAATCAGAGAACAGAATATTCAAAAGGTAAATATTCCCAGATCAACAACGTCCGTTTTGGATCTGCTTTTTGAATAAAAATTGAAATCTGAAACAGTCTGTCCGCACTCTGAGTAACTCTTTGGAAGATGACTCACCCGTCCACGAATACTATCTCTTTTAAAATACAAAATAAAACATAAATGGTTGCAAAAACAAAAAACATATCTTTGCAATCAATAAATTTCAAAATCTGTTCTTTGATCTTGCTATGAAAACACAAAACTTCCACTAAAATTTAAGAAAAAACTCAATCACCCGATGATACAAGTTAGGATTCAACATTGGATCATAAACAAAATTTTTGAAAATAGTATAAAGCAAATAAGCCCAAAGAATGAATAAAACAAAAGTGAGATCCACTTGTAAAGAATATTACGCTGAGTTCAACTTTATATAACGTTCAAGCACTCTGAAATGGTACAAGATGCATTTGTCACTTCTTTGGAGTGAAATTTAAATATACCATTTATTGTGAAGAAACTGAATGGAAAAAACCGGAGTGTTAACAATATTTTTATGAAACAAAATAACCAAACATTTTAATACACCTATAAACAAATATTACCAGGGATAATGAAATGAGCAAAGCACGATTGGCAAAATTAATGAAGCTTTAAATTGCAACTGAAGAAATAATTAGACAGTGCTGAAATATTCATGATTAGTTTCCGTTACGGAAAGAAAAGATGTCCAAATATATACACTGTAATGCAAATGCAAACAGCCTAAATATTTAATAAATAAAGAATATAGAATTATGGTACATATTTGATATCAATCATAATAGTCTCCCTATCTCCTCGTTTAACTTCAAACTTTTGGATGTATGAGTCACTTAAATTAAGTATATACAAAAATACATCAAAAATAGTCAAAAAAGTGAACGAAAAGACAGGGAATTATTGGACACATTAACCATAGCATCAATAAATAAGTTTACACTGGTACCATCTTTGAAGAAAAAATCTTGAAGAGCTAAATGATATGATGCAGAGTCAAAAGAAAAGCGATATTTCGACAATTAACCAGATAAGAAATGAGTGAATATTTCTGCATACTTAGAAATTCTACATCACAGTATTATAAATATCAAAATCTGGAAATTACATGACTAACAAAAAGGAAAAAGAAAGGAAAAGATCAGAAACTTGAATGTGAAATAATCATCCAACTAACAATGAAATAAAATAAAAAAATAGGATAAAGTGCCAGCATTTTTCGTCTCGGTGGTTGTGAACTGGATATGAATACCATAGATGCTAGAAAAAGAACTGTAAATTTCTATTTTTAACATCTATTATGAACATTCATTACTTGAAAAAAAAAAAAAAAAAAACAGAAATTCTTTCTTGAGCTTCATGATTTTTTTTTTAAAAAAATAATATGTCATTTGTTTCTTAAATGTTTGTAGTCAAGTCAAAAAATAGATTCCAATAAACCTACCATATATTGCCCACATAAATCCAGCCGTCGTAACTAGAAGACGTAAAGCGAAGAGAAATACTGTCTGTTCGGAGTTTATTTCAATAAATTTGCATATTATTGCTGCTAAACCAGGAGGCAACAAACAATAACCAAGCACACACAACGATTGAAAAAATGATCTGAAATGATCAACGACTTATATCTCAGCAAAAATAAGCATTTAAACATTTTATGCGTCTCAAATAATAAGGCAATTTAATCATATATAAACGTTTTGACGATTTCGCTTAGTTTCCGGTTGTAAAGTACAATAATTTAACTGTTAAAATTACCGGTACAGCATAGAGAATGATTAATACTGTCTTAAACGGTCTATCTTTACATATGAAGATACGACTTCACTAATTTGATCCTTTTAAAAAAAAAATCATTTACTTAATAAAAAATTTCTATTCTTTTACAAATGAAAGTAATAACAAGCAATTACATGTTACCACCAAGCAACTTTGTGTTCAAAGTGACAACGCACGAGCCAAAGAAAGTCAACGTAAAAACTTCGGTGAAATGAGGACCTTTGCCACTTTTACCTCCTTGCAATAATCTTAAAAACAGTAAGTTAGACACACATAATCACTGGAAATACATTTTTTTTTTTCATTTTCTTTTATTTAAAAGGAGTAAACAAAGAATTCATGTAAATGGTAGGACTAACGAATAGAGATTCTGACATGAAATAATAAAAGACAACTATTCCAGTTATTTAGCAAATCTGATGTCAGTTAAATTCACCAAAACAATTAAATTTTTAGCCAGTATAGCAGCAAAATAACTTACAATGAGATAAAAACACATATAAAGAGCGGTCCCCAAAGATCCCAATCACGCAGTAACTGTTGACTGCTTCTTGGTGTCATAACCTGCCCAAATTTTGCAACAACAGTATGCAAATCTCGTCTCTAAAAAATGAGTATTCATTAGTGCAGCCAATAATCATTTAATATAGATTATTAATAATTAAAACAGCTAATTAAGTTTCAAATTCTAGCATACATTGTGACGAAAATAAACAGAAAAGAGGTCAGTAAAGGAAATGCGATAGAACTAACGTATAGGGACTAACCTTTAAATGGAAAATTCGGAACTTATTAACAATACCCTATTAGTGATAATACCAAAGAAAAACTAACAATAGTATCCCAGACCGGTTCATCCAAAGTATCAAAATCGCTATTCAAATCGGGTTCAATAATGGAACGTCGTGGTTTTGAAGAAGTTACTCCAGCAATTTCTCCACTCAAATCAATATATTGCTGATCACGTCTTTCCTGTTCCTTTGCTGAGATTTCTTTTTCCAACTAAATAATTTACTATTTAGATTATGCAATGTTTGCCGTTACAATCACATTTATGCTAACAAAAGTGCAAATTGAAGTGAATAATTTGATAGAACTTTAAAATACATTGTGTAATTAGTTACATTTCGAATTCGAGCAGAAAATTGAAGAGATTTAACTAAATTTTTTCTACAGCTAATAAGTAAAGAACACAAATAGAAACACCAACCAATTCAATATCAATTGCAGCATTTCCAAAATTATGAGCCATTGATAAATTCTGTTCAAGTTCTGCAGCAACTTCTCGAAAAAGATATAATCATGAGGTAAACATGGTATATTATATCTTCTTTCTTCTTGAATATATATCTAGCCATTACATAATAATATTATGATCCCCGGTCAAAATTTAATACATCCAAACAATCCGATAAACTCACCGGTTAAAGGATTAGAATACACACTTTGGCTAGCAGACAAATCGATTAAAGTATCTTCAGTATCTGGTACTGTCGTAGTTCCACGATTAACAATTGGAACTGATAATAGATGAGCAGATGACAGTGAATCAGACATACGACATTTATTCCTTCAACACCTCAAGTCCCTCCTAAAGCTATAGCAAGATTTTTGTTAAAAAAAAAAAAAAAAAAAAAAAAAAAAAAAAGATTCCTAAGAATTGTTTACTTGAAACCCGAAAGTAAATATCGGTAAACACAGCAGTCAAATTATTAGAATGTCACACTACTGCAATGACCAGTTTAATATTCAGAATTGCATGTCTTATCTGATGTTGAATTCACTTGGGAACTTATCTGACGGACAACAACCCAACCACACTGTTTCTGGTTTAGAACTATTATGCATTGTCACCAAAAAGATAAATTTTAAGGAAATTTTAAACAATACTTTACAGATCGTTGGATTTTATTAAATTGTTAATCTATAAAAGAAAAGGTGAATGGTTTGGTGCAAAAGCAAAAAAATGACATTACCTTATAAAATTACCTGTCACAGCGGAAGATAATTTTCTGATAAAACAATCTTGAGTTACTAGAAATGTAAATATACACTGGGATATTTATTCAAAAAACAAACAACATAATCTGTACAATGATAAAAACAATAAATTAAAAATACCCTATTTAACTTTCGTTCTGGAATTACAATCAAAAACAAAGACTCGAAATGACTTTATAATCGCATTTAAATTGCTTCATAAATGTTTAGTAGGTCTACTTAACTTAGAAAAAAGGATTGCACTACTTTCATCTTTGAGATAGGAAAGAGTGAGGATGTTCTGAATGTTTTTCGCGTCATTCTGTCTTAGGGCCGTAACATCGGAGTTTGAACTTTCACAAATGCAGCAGAAGGCGAAAAATAAGTTGTAGAAGAAGAACCAATATGATCAGGTTTCACTGTTGGATTTACAATCTCTAATCCTAATACAGGAGTGAAAGTTACACTTGAAGCAGTGCCTGCTGCTCGTGATCGAACTGACGTTACACCACCCATTGATCGCTGTCGTTCCATTGTTTTTTGAAGCTTTTGCGACATTCTAAAACAATTTTTATATTTGAGACACATAAATGAAATACCAGAAGATAAAATACAGGAAATTCTACATTAAATAGGTAATCTATAGCTCCACAAAATATTTTTGCAGTACTTGGTAAAAACATTTACGACTCAGAACTCATACAGTTAATCAAACAAGAATGTAGTATCACTGTACCTGGCTCTTGTTTTTGGATCAACTGTTGCACTCCTGATGCGGCTTCCAGAAGATGGACCACTCAACGCCTGTCCAAGCGAGAATCCCATATTTTCTTGAATAACATCTTCCGCTAACTCACCAAAATTCATTCGATTCGACTTTTTCCTTAATTCAGTCATGCCCAGTCGTTCCTTCATTTTTCTTACTCGACGACCTCCTCGTTTTTTACTAGCCTTGAGGAAAAATTTAAGTAGGATTAAACTAATTTTAGAATAAACAAAGATTAAAAGATAAAGACTCATTCAACCCGAAATATCTTTTTCATATCTTATTAGTAACATATCTCCATGTAAAAGATGAAGAGCATGCATTTTCCAGAACAACGTTTTAATAAATGTGCATCGTTTCATTAAGAGATCTCCCATTATTTATTTTGAAGTTTCTACGTAGCTCTCTTTCAACATTAGCAAAGAGGTGTCAAGTATAAAGTTTTACTGCAAGAAAATTAAAATAGTAAATAAAGTAAATGAATTTTGGGATTTTAAAATCCTGAAGTTGCTCATAAAAACATACGAACAAGCATAACAAATATTAATATTAACCTTATCCAAAGGTTTTGGCAAAGGTTTTGCAGCTTTTACAGGTGGAGGTTCTAACATTTTCTCTATTTTTTGCTTTATTTGTTCAAATAAACTTTTTCCGATCAAACCATCTGATGCCTCATGAATAAAATCAACACGAGCAGCAAGCGTGGTTTTCGCAGCCAGTAATCGAGCAGCTTTCTGCCTAAAAATATGTGATATTGTAAAAAAAAATCATAACAGAAAAGCACCTAACAGAAAACCTAGTGCTTCTGATGTAATTTTCTATTTTATGTTAATAGGCAAAAAAATCGCATAAACAAAATGCTCGAAACGATGTTACCTCAAATCTGGTGGAACACCTTGAACAATAGGATGGAAGAAAAGGAAACCGGCATGTGGTAATACAGCTGTTGAACTAAAACCAGTCAGCGTTTTTTTCTGTGCACCAAGAATCAGTACATTGCAGGCGGGAAGGCGAGCCAATGGTGCAAGACCTAAAAAATGCTCTTATGCAGAAGAGAAACAGAAATTCAAATAGGCCAGAGATACCAGTCTGATTACCAGTCTGATACTTTTTTTAAATACTTTTTTGTTTTAGTTATTTCTTTCCGCTCCAATTGGCTGCAGTGCATATTAGGAACAATAAAAAACCAACAAAAATCATTACCTCAAACTAAACCCTTTTATGGAACTCTAAAGAAACAACTAATATGGATATTACCTCCAGCTTTGGCAACTATCATTGCTGCCGTACCAGCTCCCAAGATTTCGCACAAATTCGGTGCAATAAGTGCCATTCTCGACTCAACCAACTGATACATATTAAGTCGATCGGTATGCAACTGCTCAGCCATATCGCAAGCTTCTTGTACTGCCACTAATTCATCTGGTTCTAGCGCTTTTCCTTGTGTAGTTGACGCTGTCACACTAACCACAATACACGTAGCGGGTGCTAGGATTTCACTGAAAATTAAAGTCAATAACGAAACCTTAAATCAATACCGAAATCTCATAGCTTTGGAAACTTCTCGCTGAAAAATATCCAACCTCAAAATCTGCTTATTTTGTCCTTTCGTCGAAATATCATTCCCGAGAAGTTTTACAGTCGCCAAATACTCTAAAGCATTTGGTACTAGAGATTCCAACTCAGGAAAACGTTTTTCATATTTGTCACGAACAAACTTATGAATTACGTTTAATTCCTGGTCCACTTCAGCTGCAAGCTGCAAAAATGATTTAGTCAGAATCTGAAGTACTTCATATGCAAAATTTTATAAACAGATATATCATAGATGTAGAGACGAGCTGAAAATGCACTATATGGTCACTATATATGAGTAACTCAGGAGATTTACTAGCGATATTAGAAAGCCACATGGAGAATACTTTGCAACTGCATTATCCTGACAGTAAAAATTTAATGAAAAATCGACATAAATAAAACTCAAATAAAAGAAGTCTGTTGCTTACTCCAGAAAGTTCCACAATCAATTTATACTGAGGATCCGCTTCCAATGGCTTTGTGACTGGTGGAATTTCTTTCAAATTTAGTTGCTCCTGCATCTTGTCGATAAGATCCTTATAACTACAAATAATCAAGGATGAAAAAAATAGGAATACAGTTTTTTACACAATTAACAAAAGCAGTCACGAACTATAAATGAAACCAAAACCAAGAATCCCTCAATCTTTATACATTTAATATTAAATGTTTAATATTAAATGAGAATCTTAAGTAATTCTAATGCCACACTTTTGATTCGCCAATAATTTTGCTACGGATCCAACTCGATCATATGCACTCATAGATGGCAATTGTTCATCTACTTCTTCCAAGCCTTCCCCTGCATCTTGTTCCGTCTCCTCCACCACTTCTTCATCCTCTAAATCTGCCAAAAGCTCATCAGCGAGTGACATTCTTACGAAAAATTAATCGCGTCGACTGGAAAAAAGTGAGGAACACCTGTAAAATCTTACAGAATTAAATTACGCTCTGATATAAATTCAATTTCCATTTTCGATACAAACTACTTTTCGGTGTACGGTAAAAAGAACAGTAGTCAGAACAAAAGTCTGACTGCAAATTCAAACAGCCAAATATATGTTCCAGGAAAATAAAAAGCTTCTTTTTGTATTGAAATTAAACAAAAATAAACCAAATAATGAATTCCTAAAAATTAAATCTGACTTTTCACCCCGGAACTCTCTGTTTCCATGCAAGCTCGCATGCAAGAACCCTTTATACGTCTCTTAAATTCTCTGAAATTTTTTTGCCGTAAGCAAGTTTCAATAATTAGCAGTAACTGATGAGAAGCATCCTGAAATGTTCCTAAAATATAAAATTAATTTTACAATTTAATTAATCTAATTTTTTTACTGCAAAACTTCCAAAAGTTTCTACACCAGCAGACATCAGACCACACTTCGCAAACTCCTTGAGTGCACTACTGTAGCATAATCACCCCAAACCAACCGGTTAAAACATGGTTTGCTGAAATCTATTAGGTATCGGTACGCTACATTCTGGTCCAATCCAGTTTCTCAAGTGAAATTTAGCCCTACTTCTATTTTCAATTACAAAATTTATTAGTACTAAATGAAGTTATTGTTTTTCTTTTTCTTCTTTATTTTTAATTCAAACTTCAATTAAAACTTAAAGTATGGCATCAAATAGAAAGAAAGCCATTGGTGAATTATTACCCTACATAAGTCACTGATCACTCTTTTAGATACTTTAAAAATCTGCTTTAAAATATTTGAGGAAAAAAAAAAAAAAAAACACACAAAGTAACTATGATAAGATACACAGCTTTATTAATGTTGAATCATATTTATTAAATAATTAGAAATTTACCAAAATACATATCACAATTCATTCAGAGTTAATTGTTTCTCTGCCGTAAACATAAAGCACGTCAGTTTAAAATCTATTTTTATATTTAATTGAAATATAATGTTTTGAATTTATCAAGTCAAAAAAGAGAAACTAAAACAACTTTAAAATTATATAAAAATGACGATAAGTTAGGAATACAAATTACGAACTAACTCATTCATAAAGAAATACCTGGGGATATCACAAATAGCAATGACAGTGAGATAAAGGATATAAAGTATCAACTGACTGTAATATCAACGAGCTTTGAACTGTGCACTAAACAATAATTGTTGGTATAACTTCATAATAAGGCCTTCTCTAATGATAATAAAAGAAATTCCCAAAAGTTTTTCATCAAAGCAATTTCATCCAAAATTTTGAAAATTTAAATGACTAAATAAACAAACCACACTTCTAAGCATTTTTCTAGAAAAATTGCTATTCTAAAATAACCCTCAATCAACGGACTCAGTCAGACGTAATAATTGGGTGAAACGAACAGATCTGTCAGAATGGAAAGTTGATCTTCACTGAACTGCATCTTATGTTCATGCCAATTATCTTGATGAGTACGCTTGAATTCACTCAACGCTTTCTTCACTGTACCCTAAAAATATTCTTTCCTTAACCGTTAAGATGGTTATCACGTGGAATAAATGATCTTTTTTACACTATTCAATGGTTATCACGTGAAACATACGTTTTTTTTTACGCTATCACTATGACTAAGAATGTTCAGAATAACTGAAGGTAGATTATTTCAAGTCAGCTACAAGTCAACCAAAGAGTTAAATTTAATAACTCTAAAATTTTACTAAAATTTGAAAAAGAACAAGAAGCCTACTTGCATAGGTTGTTTGTCACAAGTGTGACGACAAAGTTGCATCAGGATTTTCGGCAAGAATGATGGAACGCTGTATGGAAATGCCTGAACAATAGCAGAAAGAGCTAAGACACCGGCATGTCGTTTTGTACCATTCTCCTCTCGAGACCATTCGTAAAATGTCTCCTAAAATTTAATTTTGTTTAAATCATCAGTATACGTCGGTACATTTGCTAATGTGACATACATATCGCTATTACCTGCGCAACAAATTCAATCAGTGCTTTTAACTTATTTGCAATTTTCATTAATGGTTCATAACGATAACATGAACACGTATAAACATAAAACTTACAACAATTAGGTGGTCCACGTCGAAGAAGTGACAGTGGATAAGACCTGATAGCGTTGTAGCAGCAGCTTCACGCACTTCAAATTTTGGATCAAGTATCATGGAGCAGAGAATAGATTGTAAAAATGGGCGATGATGCAGGAAAAGGAAGAAATTGGAGAATACAGCAACTTGCATATATTTTAGCAGCGAAACTTTCGGTTTCCACCAAGAAGCAGCAGATGAAGCTAACTGTAATTGCAAAAATCAAATTGAAACAGCGATCAATCAAAACATATATATATATATAAGTTATTTAAATTATCAAAAGATTGGTACCACTCCTACCGCTATGGAGAACGGTACCACACTATCAGAGGATAGATCTTATGCATAATGTCGGATAATTACTTGATTTATTTTCTGTGATTAAGCTACTATAATGTTATTTATTATCAGTTAATTACAATATGTTAGTTTTTCTTTCAATTTTTTCAATATTTATACAAATTTCGTTTAAATTTGATATAATCAAATTCAGTATTAATTGCAATAAAATTGGTTGTTTGAATTAAACAAGAAAGCAAAATTGAATTGTGTAAAGATTTAAATAGAATTTGGTTTTATTAGTTTATTACTTGTAACCAATTGAATTTCAATAAAAGAATTTTTATTTTTTTATTTTCAGAATACAAATTTTTTCTCAAAAAAGAAATAGTATAATTGAATCATACCTAATTTGTTGAGGTGACAACATTTTACGATAAATAATACCGATAGTAAAATAAAGCAATAACCAAATGACAAGTTCAAAGGTCACCGACTTCCAAACACTTCCACGCCATCGAAATAATAATTTGAACAGGGTCCATGGTCGTGATGTTGATACAGCCAAGTTATATTTTACGGTCATCTTTGAAATAAAATTAAATAATCTGGAAAATAAATTTCGAACATTCAAATTTCACATATTAGAGATTTTCGGAATGAAATGATCTAAACAATGTAATTTAATTGGAATAATTTCAAATAATTCTAATTTGAAATAGCAAAAAAAAAAATGTTATTTGTAAAATGTAATAATAATAATAGTAATACTAATAATATGGATGAAATTTTTGATCTTTGGAATTAATCGTTGAATTAAACGAACAAAGGAAAAATGAATTCTTTGAAAATAATATTTGTTATTGAGCAGAAGAAAAAAAAAAACTTTTTTTTGTTAACTACAATAAAGAAAAGAATTATAAATGTCAATAATACTTTAACATTCATAAACAAATATATAATTGTAAATACAAATGTAAATAAACAAATATACATATATTTGTAAATACACAGACACAGACAAAAACATATACACAAATACAAATATATATAAAAAGAGTTAAAAGGTTAAATTAAGCAAGTGCAGTCGAAAAACTGGTGATTTAAGAGTGGCGTTGACATGACAATTGGTGACAATGACAAGGTAAACATTTTAATTACACAGGAAGGTGACAGTAACAAAACGAATGTGAGAATAATATTTACTAGAATGAGTGAATTCAATTGGTGTAATAGTATAGGATGGAAAAGAACTTGCAAAAGGTTAAAGGTTGAAAATTAGAAATTAAAAAACCTAAGCAAATAAAATGAACCATTTATTGTTTTTATTCAAAATAAGATAAAATAAACCAAAAAACCAGCAGTTTTTAAATTATTGTTTATCGTAATTAAAGTGTTTATAACAATTTTTAAATGTCAAATTTTCTATTAAAAAAATTCATTTTTCTTTTTAAAGTAATTTACTTTAAAACAATTTTAACAATGAAATTTCAAGTTTCTTTGTAAGAAAAAAAAATTAGTAAATGAAATTAATAAATCCATTACTACTGATCCAAATTTTCATTTTTTTTGATCTTTTACAACTAAATGCATTTTTTACCAATCAGTAATTGTTGTTTTATCAAGTAATTAGAGAATAAAAAAACTTTTCTTTAAAGAAACTTGAAATCATAAACAGTAAAACTAATCTTTGATCTTTTCATGTAATCATTATTTCATTTTTCTGTTTATGTAATAATTATTCGTAAGATTCTACAAAAATTCGATTTATTGTAATTCAGTAATGTAATAATAAATAATGCAACAATTGACAAAACAACAATACACAATTTGCAATGTAATAATAAGTCATTTGGCTGAGTTTTCATAAAAATTTGTCAAATTCAATAAATTAATTACTTGAAGTTATGCCTAAAAATAAAATATTTACTTTGCATATAGAATTTGCAATTACATTTCAAAAAAAAAAAATCAAACTTCAAATTTTATATTAAATGATTTGTTGAAATGTCATATCCAAGATTTATTCTCTAAATTAACTTCTGGACATGAATTCTGCCTACGAATTGCTGTTTGAACAAAAGCGCAATTTGCATCATTCGATGGAACACTTCGTTGTCGAGTTACAATCAGTGATGATCCATCGACAGCACTAATCCGTACGTCACTATTCGGTGACCTTACGTAATTCACGTAAGTGTAGCCAGTGACAGGAGCAGTATTATCTGCTTTGGTATTTTTCCTACTTATAGCATCTTCTGTTTCCTCTTCCAAATCTTCCAGTCTGTACAGCGTTGACGTTTGTGACAGTGCAGCATGGCCAGTATGTCGTCCATCACTCATCGATGTTTGCTTTAATGTAAGGGGCAAATCTTCATCTATAAATTTAAAATTATAAATTTAGAAGGTCGAAATTTGATTAAAATATGAAAATTTTCCATTTAGAAATAATTTTCACACACTTTTTGCTGATATTAATGATGATATTAAAATTTAAAAGTTAATACTGAATATTTAAATAACCTTTGCAATAACCTTCCTCATCTTGCTTTGCTTACCTGATAAGTTAACATTTGGATTATCATATGATTCTTTGATAATAGTCTCCAGAACACGATTTAAACTGCTTCGACGGCTTTCACTGTTACTTATCCATTTTGAGTAACCTTTTTCCACGACTGACAATTCGTCCACAGTTTGATTCGTTTTGTTGCTGTTATCATCGGCATTTTGGCTCGTATTGAAATGTGAATGACTTAATGACCTAAGAATATGACCTTTGACATAATTCTGCAATAATTGCTAATATCAGTGCAAAACACTGATAACATTAAACTGATAACATTTCTCGTTCATTCATTGATTATTGTAAACATAGAGAAATAATTGAATGAAAGATAAAATTTTGCGTACAAAAAATACAAAGATTGATTTAAATTAAAGAAATAAATTTCTATATGTAATAATTACCTTACCTACCAAATTTTTGACGAACAATGTTCATAATACCGCCATGATGATCAGCTCTAAAATTTAAATATTTTGAAATTAAATCACTCTATACTTTATCATTAGAGTTACTGTGATATCACTTATTTCGCACTGATATCATTTAATGTCACAGCTAGCACTTTCAGAAAGCTTTGAAAGTGGATTTTTTTTTTCTTTTTTTTAAGATAAAATGATTAAATTGCATTGAAACAAATTAATCAAAGAATTAATCAATTGAACGAAATTTTTTTTCACAAAATTTAACTATTTTGCAACTTTATAATAATTACTTAACAGAAATCTCACTGTTTTATGCCGCATTTAATCAATACATTTATCACTTTTTATCATCATATTAATCACGTCAATTAACCACGTCACATCACTTTTCATCATAAGTAAGTATTACTTTTTACTTACCTTCCAGCACGCAGACTATGCCGCATTGAACTTCGTAAAAGTTCCGAAATTGAATGATGATTGTCTAATTCTCGTGATAAAGGTAACATTTTAATTTTCCTATTTTGATCAGTTAACCTAAAGAGAATTGCAATGATCATAGAACAGAAGAAAGAAATCAATGAAAATGAAAACTTTTTTTACTTCTTTTGAAATTTTAAATTTGTTTAGAAGGAATCATCGTAAATAAATTCAACAAAAAACAAAATTCATACTGAACATTTGCGGTTGAACCAGTCAAACCGGAAAGTCGATATTCTCCACGAGCCGATTCCGCTGAATACAAAGGTTCAATTTCGGTTTCGCTCCAGAAAACATCTTTAAGTAATGCCGGTATTTTGTTGCATCCGTCATCGACGATTGTTAAACCTACCTAAAATGAAAAAGTAAAAACAAGCGTTGATGCATGTCATAGCATCGTTTTTGATTATTTAAATTCTCATTTTAATTATTTAATTTGCATATTTATTAGTTCGTTCAATTTTATACATTTCCATGTGTCCACTTTCAATCAGATTTTCATTAAGGAAATGATTGAATAAATTACGCTAAGATTTTTGTCGAGCAGAAAATTGCATTCGAAATCGTCGTCGTCTTCACCAAACGGATTTAGCATTGCTTCTGCTACCTTTAGCCATCCCATGTAGAAGACAAACTGAATGATAGTCATAACCGGAAGGTATATATCCAACTGCAAACGGAATATTTTAACAGTTCAGCAAAAGGTAAACAAATAAACAAAGTGCAATTTTTGATGCTTTGCCGCTAAAATGATGTAAACTCAGAATTGGTTGCAGGATTTTGTGAAAAGATTTCATGACTGTCACTTATAGGTCTGTCTCGAAAAGTTGTTGCTTGGATTTGGCAGGCCTTTACCGGTAAATTTACTGTAATTAGACAATCAGGCAGTTATGATGCCAAAAATAAAAATAGTTATAAGAAGGCTCTGCCTTTCCTTCCTGATAAATCTCTTAAAATAAAATTATCTCTCAGAATAAAAATTTTTCAAAATTTCGATTGGTAAGATTAAAATTTAAGAAATTAACGTTTTAGAGAATCAATAAAAAAAATCTTAAAACAAAATATAAATAAAGAATATTAACCGTTGATTTATTCTTTGCATTTTCACTAATAATATATTGCCTGGCAATAGCACCAACAAGAAAATATGTGTGAACAGCTAAGACAATTAGTTGTGGGTACATAATTGGTAAAGGTACCCAATCAAAGTTACACAAAATGGCCAAATTCGTACGAAACTTTTTAATTTCCTGAAATTCAAATTAATAAAAGTGGTTGAAGTTTTGCTAATTTATGATTGACAGAGGCGAAGAATTATTTAAGATTTGTGAATGTCTCTTCATTTTAATTTATTTAAAAAATTTTCAGGCCAAAAGAGAAGTGTTTGTATATGAGACACT